CTCCTAAGATAAGCGCAGGAGGGCCTTCTGCAGGAGCCATCCCTCAGGGAGGCGAAGGGGTGGCAAATAAGCGAAGGGCCTTTTCTGCTGCTGCTGCTCCCCATCTCTGGAACTCCCTCCCTGGAGAAATTTGCCTGGCACCATCTTTATTTTCTTTTTGGTCCCAGGTGAAGACATACCTTTAAAAAATAATAATAATACAGCCCTGTGAATGCTGGTTGCCTTTTTATATTATTGTTCCATTGATGTTTTAATCTCTTAATTGTTGTAATAGGTTTTAGTATGTTGTTTCTTATACATATGCTTAATATGTTGTTTTAATATGTTGCTGTAAGGTGCCTAGGAAGACCTTTTGGCAGTTATAGATGGCATATAAAGATGTGCATAAATAAATACATAAATGCTAAGCTCAACATCATGGAAACAAAATAACAGTAGTCTGCCTGGTGACTGTGAAAGGATGGAAAATGTATCTTGGGGAGTAATGATCTGAGATGTGCTGAGGAGGTTGATGAAGGGAAAGCAGGTCTGAAATTGGAGGAAGAAGTATGTAGAATAGTGAACTTGTGAAATTGGAACATATCAGGCATAGTGTTGGAACATAATCTGCCAGAATTTGGTAACTAGTTCTTGGCTTTATGAATATAGCTGAATGCTAAGCCTTCCGCCCCACCTAGCAGGATCTTGGAATGCCTGTTATCAAAAGACAGTTTTTAAAATTAATGTAGTAAGAATCCAGCTTCTCCCATGATACAGGCAGAGTATCACCCAGTTGTCATCGTAAAATACCTTATAAATGTTGTTCATTAAATTTCCATTTATCTTTTGTTAACGATATGTGAATATTAAACAAATAGCAAGTAGATTCTGCTTCTAGCAGTTCCTTCTATCAGTTTTTTATGTCCTTCCACTAGGAAATCAAGGCTTTGAAGTAAGAAAGATAACAAAAAGAGCAAAGCTTCAAAATGGTACTGTAAAAGGGGAATTATGTAGAACAGTAAAATGTGCAACATATTTGAATGGGAACCTTCAGTGAAAGAACAGTCAAATTAATTACAATAAAGATATAATATAGTCACTAATTATAATTAAACTTCAATACATATAACATGCTTTGGTGCAACAAATTAGGATAATGCAACCTCAACAAATAATATGCAAACCACTATCAGTCATATATAGCATTTACTTATTTTTCACTACAGAATAAAATGTAAAGGGGGTGCTATCCAGTACTTTCCAGATATTTTACTGCATCATCACTAGCAAAAGGGAGGTTGACATGATGGTGGTATCTCTTTGTTGCCATTCATATAGTTTTGTTCATAGTAACTGAAGCATTTCCGTCCTTGCTGAAAATAGTTGGAGATAGTAAAGACACATCCACCCTCAAAGCCATTTCCAGTACTCCTGGCCAAAGTTGCACTGATAATGGGTTATGATGCCAGGCAAAAACCACACTGAGAGCCTGATGTTGACTTTGAGCAGCCAGTTGTCCGTTACGAGATAGGACTGATTTTCAAGATACGTAGGGTTGCAGGCTATTTTGGTTTTATAGATTAAATCCATCCTCTGATCTGTGCTTGGAGGGTTGACTTTCCAACCCTGATGTGGCCAGATACTTTTTATACCACTTGCAGCCTCTGAACTGCCTTCAAGAGCAGTACCAGTTGTTAAGGCAGGACATTTTCAGTCAGGTTTGCAACTATTGCCTGCCCAGCTATTGTCAGGTTTGCATTGAAGGGGTCAGTGTGCTGGGGGCGGGTGGGAACAACATTGTGCTGATGTCCAAAGACACACCTGTCCAAAGACCCTTATAAAACAGAATAGGAAAAATGTCTTTGCCTAACAAAGCTCACAGTGACTCTTCTTGTTCAGTTCAAGATTTATTAATTTCATTGCAGACTGCAGTAACACAGCTCTTTATTCTCCTAATTTACTGTTACCTTTAATGGTATATTAAAGCAGGTGATGGAAGTACAAAAGCTATATGTAAATGGTTATCCATTAGTATAATCTGTCAGTCACATTGTATCCTGATAGATAGGTAGATAGATTCCTTCTTTTTGAGGGAAGCCAAGCAGTTAATCAGCATAGTGGAAGTCCTCCATCAGCCTTCACCAGCTAGGTGTGTTCCACATATTCTCAGCTACAACTACCACCAGCCCTAGTCTGCATGGTCAGTGGATGGAGATGTTTAGAACTGGAGTCCAAAACAGATGGAGGCAGTGGGCTGAGGAAGGCTGTAATCTATTTTATTGCTTGTTTTTGTTTCTTGTTATATGCTCTTTTTGACTTTGTGAACTGCCCCGAGAGCCTTTTGACTATTGGGCAGTATAGAAATGAAATAAAATACATGTGCTTTCCAAAAACTTAGGGCAGATGTTGTGGTCATGAGGTCGAGCTTAGACCCTGTCTCAAAATGGGGATTACAGACCGTATTAGTGAGCTACAGGTAAGTATTGCTGGTATCAGATAAACCTAGTATGTTGGGATGAAGAAGCAATGTCTGAACCCTATTTCCATTTTGAGTTTGGGGCTAATCTACAGTTTGCTTGGCCAAAAAATCTTGTTTTTTTCCCTGTTCCTCTCCCATTTCCTGTTTTTTGCTACCACCTAGCCTGTTCAGAAAAACTTCAGTGCTTGTATAATCATTTATGGCATTTTGGTTGATCCTGATAAGGTATTGCCCAAACTGCAGGTTTTAGATCTTTTCCTCATCGACCAGTGTAGGTAACCTTTGTTTAATTTTTATAGACTCTTTAATATATATTGTTTGTGCCAAAGGTCACAGTGGGAGGTTGCAGTAAGGACTTCTTTGAAAAGATGCAATAACAGAGGATTTGCAAAGTAAACTTAGTGCTTGCTTTCACTGAGGAAGTAAAGATCAAATATGTATGTCTTTAAAATAAGTATGTATTACCCTTCATTATCAAATTTTGGTGTTAGAAAGCTGGATTTTATAAGTAGAATTATGTGTTGAATTGACAGAATCTTGGTTTTCAATTTGTGAGGAATGAACACTTGGACTCGTGGGGAAGATCTAAACACCTTGAGCCTCTGTGGCTTTATTGAATCTGTTCCCCAGTTCCTGCAGTCCCTAAGGACAGTGCACTCTTGGTAAAGGCAAACTCAACTACAAGCTTGCAGCCCATGTACAGACACTTTTATAACCTGCTAGTCATGTACACCAATACAGAGTGTTAAGTTTCCAGATAATGTTAATACAATAACATCTTTATGTCTTCATACATGAAACAATGCTCTGAACCAGTCAGAAATACCAATAACAACAGGATGGAAAATTATACTGATTGAGCTTTATTGAAATGTCAGTTCAGTGAATTCCTTGTAGTTTGGGTCAGCCCCTGTGTCTGTTTAAACATGCAAATGTGTCTGATTGAGGAACCATTCAGGAAAACTTGTTTGACAACTACAGTGCACAGGTGCTTGCCTCTGTTGAACAAGATGATTAAATGGGTCCATTCAGAAACAAATGGATACCTTTGTCTCAGCTGTCTGCAGCTGATGGGAACACCAGTATTTCCCCCCATGATAGTGTTAGCCTTCAGCAGCTTCTCAGTCCAGCTAAGAATTCTGTCTTCTTAAAGTAACAGTAATGCTAAACAGTAACCTGGCCTGCAATTCTGCTGCTTACTGAGAAAGAGGTGCAGGTTTGATTTTATAACACAAGGGCACATATAAAGCAACCTTTTTCTACCAGGATTTATTCTGGATTCCCCCAACAGAACTCAAAAGGATTTACTTCTGAGCAAGCAAGTACTTCTGCCGTACATTTGGTGCCAGTGTTACTTGGAAAGTTCAATGAAGGGAGTGTAATGTTGGGAAAATCCAAAGAAATATTTGTAGAGGAAAGCTACTTAATGTGTGCCTATATAAAATCAAACTGCAGTGTCCCTGCCCCTCTTGCCCAGAAAGAACTTTTGGCCAAGCTCCACACCTGGGAAAAGCAGGCAGCCCTGGAGCTTCATTATTCATGCATTTCCTCACAGAATCAGACAAACCATCAGGAAAGCTAGACTTCCTTTCCATTGTAAAAATACCTAGGCAGCCCACCTTTGCCTTAAGAAATTTTGTATCTCTGATTGCAAAGCCACTACATTTTAAACCCCAAGCCTTTGATTGGTCATGATCTTTTTCTTGATGCCTATAATGATTCCTCAATACTTCTGTATTATTCCCCATTGTCCTCACCTTCTCACCCATTCAGAATCTCATCACTGCCTTAAAACTGTGCACATGACTCAAAACTTATTTAAAAAAAACAAAACAAAACTCTGTGCTCTGGAAGCTTGCAGTTGGTGTAAGTTTGGTCTCTGCATAAGGCTTTTCCTGGGTGTTCTCACCAATAAAACTGCCGAGGTTCAAGGCAGAGACCTCTCTCTATGGATCGGAATGTACATTCTCACAGACTGTTAAACTGGGATTTCCTGACAGTTCATGTACATTACTGTTTTTCTTTTAAACCAACAGAGGTTTATATAATGGTGGGACTAGGAAATAGCCGTCGTGGGATGAAGTCTCCACCTCTTCTAGTTGCTGCACTTGTGGCTTGTATAATTGTTCTGGGATTCAATTACTGGATTGCAAGCTCCCGCAGTGCTGATTTACAGGTATTACTCTTCTTTTGGTGTTCAAATTGATTGAACGAGCAAATATGCTTTTGTTCAAAATTACACATAAAGCTTCAAGTTTGAAAAGCACTTTATGGCTTCTAATCTTAATTCCTGACAGATATTTGGGTGTTGGCAATGAGAAGAAATAGGGAAGGTGAAGACCGATAGCTAAATACAGTAGCATGTGCATGTATCAGTATTAGCGCCTTAAGGATAAGCTCCCAGACCAGGATGGGCTTTCATAAAAGACCATGGGCCATGTTGGGTAAGCTTGAATTCAAAAAGAGGGACCTACTATCCTGGGCTAGCAAGTGTGGATAGGAATGAATGACCAATAAATAACTGGAATTCTTGCAGAGAAAAGGCCAGGCTTAAGACATTTCCCTTTAAAGAGATTAGCCAAAACCAAGGAGGATGGCCCATTATCTTGAGACACCTGGAAATTGCCCCATAAATTGCAAATAGATCCATAGAAAATAGAACAATCAAGCACCCATACAGCAATCAGCATAAGTCTGGGAAAGTCATCTCTGTGGTAAGTACAGAGAGAAATAGTGTAAAGATCAGGGACTTAACAAAGAGAAAGGGAGGCAGCTCTGAACACAGGTCTGGCACCCCAGCCTGTGGATGCCTTGTACCCTTCCTACCCACACAGAGGACAGCTGTGGAGAGCCTCCTCTGCAGCAAAGGTAATAGACTCCCTTGCCCACTCACTGTCTGTTAGCTTTTCTCCCTGTTAAGCTGAAGGTGCTATACTTTAGCAGTATAGAATAAGACTGGGATGCAGTAGGAATACTTGCTGCCTAGGCAACATCAGGTTAAAAGCTTGTGCCTGTTCTATATTTTCTACTATCGATATTTCCCTTTCTTTTCCAAGTGTTGTATGTGTCTGTGCAAATGCAGAACCAGAGCTTGTTCTCTTGTTAAACCCCATCAAAAGGGCACAAGCCTTTTGAGGCATCTGCTGGGCATGCACTTAAAGTTTAACGTGCGTTGCTTTCTAAGATTACGTGGCATATCAGCGCTGCATCCTACTCAAGCAGGACATTCGGTAGCTTTATGCTACCATTGTCACCTGATATATATACCAATATAAAGGCCATTCTCTGCTTATCTCTTTATTTGTGCATGCACACACACAGAAACCTGCACACAGAAGCAAACATTCTGCCAGAGTTGGGACTGGCTGTTTTAAATCAGTATGTAAAATGTATGCGGTCCTCTCACCAGTGCTCCATTGCTGGCTGGCTGACTTCCTTCTGATAGTACATAGCTGCTCCAGTGCTCCTTGCATGCCCTGTGTTTTTGCTTCACTGCCTGCTAACAGCAGCACCTGGGTCCTTCTGCCCCCTGCCCTGACTCACCATTTTTCTTCACAACGGCTCTATTAATTATCAGTATGTTTAATGACATTTTTCTTGCTATCCATCCTTATGAATTTATGTTCTTGAGTTCTGTGGTACCACAGGAATTCAAGGAGTTGCTTAGGTACTGCTCACAGGTGACTGGCAGCCACCTAAGTATGTTTATATAGTTAGAGAAGTAAATTTAGTTTTGCTTTCTGCAAACACAGAATAGCAACATATAATATGGTTATGTATATTTTTCAGGAAAATTTCTTTAAACTTCATTTTCCTAATTCTTGTATCGGCTGTGCTTTAGAATCGTGTAATGGAACTAGAAGGCAGAGTCCGCAGAGCAGCAGCAGAAAGAGGGGCTGTAGAACTGAAAAAGAATGAATTTCAAGGAGAGCTAAGGAAACAGAGAGAGCAAATTGACAAAATCCAGTCCCTGCATAATTTCCAGATGGAAAGTGCCAGCAAAATGCACAGGGATGAGAAGGTAGGAGCATTTTCTTTCTAACTCTTCTGTGGGCCTCATGGTGCAATTCTTCTTCATGCAAAACTGTGAGAAGAGTAGTTTTTAAAATTCAGAAAAATACATCTAATGCTAGGTGGTGTAAACTTATAGCTTTATGGGTGGAAAATATAGGGAGAACATTGGTGTACCGTGCAAATGGTATGTGTCAGTATTGCAAGGGATGAGAAATGGCTGTGCTTGGTGCAATGAAGAGTTTTATTTTACTGGCAAATCAGGTAAAAGTTTGGATGCTGGTGAATGGTGATTCTTCCACAATGGGAACACTTTGATAGGCCCTTGAGTAGTCTTTTGGTTGGTTAATCATAGCTTTGACATCATCCTAGGAAAATCACAGTTTCTGGAAAAGCCCTAAAAGGATGCTCTAGATGTACATAATTTTTGCAGTGAGTCTGTTCTGGAAGCACACATGCCATGTTTTGGGTGGACATACAGCCCTCTTCTATGAATCAATCTTAGGAAAGTATTTTCTTTTGCTTTGCTGAATGGGCTTCTGAATAGCACTTGTGGGGGCTTTTTTATGCATCAGGGAGTCACCTCCCATACCAGAAGTTTTTCAAGAGCAAAAACCTGTATTGCAGGGATAGGTGGAAGCAGCAAACAATTTGATTAAATAAATATGTGAGTCAGCCTATCTGAAACAGAAGGAAGGAGTAAAGAGGAACAGGCAATCACAATTGATCTGGAGTCAGTACACTTGTCCTTGAAGGAGCAAAGTGGAGCTAACCATACCCTGCAGCTGAAAGCTCAGCACCAGCTCCTGTTTGCATACACAACTGTATGCAGCCAAAGAGAGACAATATCATACTAGGAAATGCGGTTCCTGCTGCAGTGAATCATGTTCAGAAAATGGAAGTGTGTTTATGGTGTTGAAGAGTTAATGTAACAAGAAAAATGGAGGTCATATTTTAATTTTGCAGTGAAATTAGTGTCTTATAGATATGTTGTGGTACTATTGCTGCTTTGTGAATTCTGTTCCTTGGTAAGAATATAAATCTAAGTTCCATGCAGTGACTGAGGGAACCGAGTCTGGTTTCTGTGCTATCTCTGCCCCTTTCAAATAAAACTTTCATATATTAAAAAACAAAACAAAGGTGCCTTTGATATTGTATAACAAACATTACTATAAAAAGTCACTTCAACTGGATGTTCAAAATAATTTGTAAATATGGTCTTTTTATAGTGAATCTTTTGTTCAAGCCCCTCCAGCTTGTAAGCCGACACCTTATATATTTGGGGTGCAATCTAATGCCTCTTGCTTGATGCACAGAAGCCTCCAAACTCAGAGTCTTACATGCACCTGATGCACAGACTGAGGCATGGTAGCGGAAAAACTCAGTCTCATGCCCAGTTGTTTCTGACCTTCAAGAAGCTGTACCACAAAGCAAGAAGGAAGGAGACTGGGGTGCCCTCTGGATACAGCATAAGCTCTGAGCCCCAACTTCCTCTCACCCCTGTTGCCTTGCCCCCTTTCCTGCTCTCTGGGGCTGATTTCTGACCTTGGAGAGGCAGCCAGTACAGTTCTTTCTGCACCAGCTGTGCAGTGTGCGAGGTAGGGGCTTGGCATTTGGAGTCTCAGCTCCAGGGTGACAGAACCTTGAACCCAGTGCTCTGAATAATCCTATGGTCCCCCAGACAATGTCAGGAGCCATAGGACTGTATCCTTGGAAACCTTTTGTGTTGCTGGAGCCATTAAGGGACAAACACAAATTTCAGCAAGAATTAATGCACTGTGTAACTCCTCTCTAGTAGTTCAATTTACCTAGCATGAGGTTTAAAATATATATCTTTAAACAGAATTAAAATATATATCCTTCAGTCACTCCAATATAAAAGAATATGCTTGTCTTGTTGTTGCTACAGCTATTTACAGATCATAATTCTAGAGAAATGTTTTATGTTTACTCTGTATGTATGATTGTTGTGTATACAGAAATGGTATCTATTACTTCTGCTTTAACTTTAACTATCCCACAAACTTTCTCCTGATATACTAAGGACTGTAATGAAGAAATGTCCTTTTCCCTTTTTTTTTTTAAAGCAATCTTGTTGTATTATCTATGTGTTTCCTTTTTGTTACTTGTTACTTTCAAATGCTATTCAAAATAAAGTTCCCTGTTCAATGTATATCTAATATTATTTTAATATTCCCATGAAAATAGCAGACTATATTATAGACTTAAAATAGTTTTGGATTTATTGAACTTTTGCTTTCCCCAAGAAACCAGGGAGCTTTCTTAAGACAGCAAGCCAAGCTAAGCAAGCCAATCTCCTTATATAATCGGATACAGTGGTACCTCAGCTCACGACCAAATCGGGTTGTGAACAGAAATTTTGGGAAAATTTTGCCTCAGGTTGCGAACTCCACATTGGGTGATGACCACGATTGCGGCCATGTTCCCGCAAGAACACGATCGTGATTGTGGCAATCTCCCCCCCAAGCACGATCATGGCCATCTTTCCCACTCTGGTCGCAGACAGACCTGTGGTCACTTGCTGTGAAGCTTATTGAATAATGGCTCCAAAGAAAGTGCAGAGCAAGCATGGTGGTAAAAAGAATGTGCAGAGCAGTAATGAAGGTGACAAGAACATGCAGATTTTTCACCAGAATTGACCCTGCAGCTAAGAGACAAAGAAGAAAGGAAACCCCTGAAGGAGATCTCCCCAATGTCCTTATGGAGGGGGACTCTCCCTCCAAACCATAACCTCCCCCACACACCTAGGTTAGTGTTCTCTACTGTACTGTACTTTGTTCTTTGTTACTTTGTTTCAGATTTTTGTGATTAAAAAAAATTACAGAACGGATTAACCTTATTTACATTGAACCTTATAGGGAAATTTGACTTGGCTTGCGACCAATTTGGGTCACGACCAGAGTTGTGGAACGGATTAAGTTCGTGAGCCGAGGTACTACTGTACATTATTGAGCAGCTCTTAAAGTTTCATGTTGTGATCTTCATAATTTTGGCACCTCAGAATTCAACTGTTACTTATTCAGTTGATTCTTCGAGTGGTAATGGGTTTGCCTTCCAGGCAAACGCTGATTAATCCTGCAGATCAGCTTTAGTCCTGCTCCAATGACCCTGTTGAACTGAAACTATTTTGGTATAAGTATGCTAGTTCTATTAACCCAGGAATGAATATAAAAATTTGAGACAAAGCAGAATCACTCTCAGTCTAGTTTTAGGTAACTTGGTATTTGGAACTTTTATATTTCTCCTTTGGTCATAGGTTGAATGATTAAAATTGCTTTCAGAACCTGCTTATTCCAGGCTGTAACTTATAAATTCTCTCGAGTGCAATCAATACACATTGTTGGTTCAGTGAACACTGAAATCTTTCCTTTTATCTAGATAGCAGTGGTGTTGGTTTATAATATACCTGATCCCCAGGTTAAGAATGAGTTCTGTTCCTGAAATCACCCTTAAGTTGAATTTGTATGTGTTGGATCACATATATAAAATGCATATACAATACATAAGAAACACTTCCATAGTGATAATAATACAGTAATAATAAAGTAACTGCAGGTACTGAAGAGAGAGGGAGAATCCGATAGTTGAATGACTAATGCCTAATGCTTTCCCACTGACCACATTTCCACTTTAGTTTCGATTGTGACTGCTTTTCTTCAATGCATCATTTGTACTTGCATTAGATTTATACTTTGGAAGTATGGTTACAAACCAAAAACAGTACAAAGTTACAGAAGGCAACACTAATTCCATGTGATCTGAAACACACCTGCTTGAAAAACTACTGTTGCTCTGCTACCACCAATGAACTAGTTCCAACTTCACTGCTCAATGCTTTTTTCTGCTTTCTTTCCCTTCCCTCCCTCCCTGCTTCTTTCCTTCCTCCCTCCTCCTTCCCTCCTTCCTTCCTCTCCTCATCACTCAGCACCTGCTTGCCACTCAAGGATGATGTGGAACTTCCAGGTTTGCTTGTTCATAAGTAGGGGTTGTTTTTCTCTCAGCCGTTTGTAACTGGGGGACTAGGTGTATAAACATGTATTCACAGTTCTGAAATACCTATAAACAAAGATTAATAAACAAATGTGCCCTAAGTGCATTTAGCATATCAAATCACTCCATGAGCTCTGAAGGAACTTGCTGCTAAATTTACAAGTGCTAATTCTTAAGAGCTGAGCTGAACTAATCTATATCCTCAGAAAAGATTTTGGTCTGATTCATATATGTCAAGAGGGGGACGCAGTGGCACAGTGGGTTAAATCGCTGAGCCGCCGGGCTGGTGATCAAAAGGTTGGCAGTTCAAAGGCATGTGACTGGGTGAGTTCCCACTGCCTTGTCTTTAGCTCTTGCCAACCTAGCAATTCAAAAGCATGTAATGCAAATAGATAAATAGGTACCATTTTTGTGGGGAGGAAACAGCACAGCACCCCATGATGTCATGCTGGTCACATGACGACAGGAACGTCTTTGAACAGCACTGCTCATGGCCTTTGAAACGGAGATGAGTGCCGCCCCCCTATAGCAATTTAAGCTAGTGGAGTAAAATCTGTGAGGGCTCCTTTCCATTTGTCAAGCCCATATCATGGTCTGGTTAAAACAAAAAGCAAGAAACTTAGAGGTGAGAATGGGACTAAAGGAAAGTCAGGACCCTTGGGATTACCCCCCCCCCCATGTGACCCCCATTTACTCAACTGCCTGCTCAGGGGGTCTATTGTCAGGGAACTTCGGTAACTGCAGCAGTCAGTACTATGCAAAAAAGCTACAAGGAAAAGATGAGTTACTATGTCCCTGTTGTGTGCTGGTTTTAACTTTTTAGAACTCTTCATAGCCATATATATTCAAGCCCACTTGATTTATGCCTTGCCATGCCAATTACATTAATCAGATTGGGACCATCATAACATTTCTTAACTTATTTACCGCATTCTATTCGCCATTTAGCTGAAGCTGTTTGGGCAGTTGTCTAACACCGATGATCCTTCAGGTAACCTGGCCCCAAGTTAGGGCTTTGTAAGTTAATACCAGCCCTTTCATTTTGGCCTGGAAGTAGACTGGCAGCCAGCACAGTAAGGGAGAAGAGAATCAGCTTCTAGGAGCAGAGCTTTCTTAGTGTTGGCCTCAAGGCAGTGCCTTCCCCTTCACTGCATCATTGCCTCTCATTTCTCTCTGGCACAGATAAGTGGTCCTTGGTCCCTGCTGGCTCTTCCTGGCATTACTCTGCCATTGGCAATCTGGTAGATGAAACACACTCCAATGCTGCCTCCTTTTTAGTTGGTGGCCAATGGATGCAGGGCTGCTCTACCACGTTCTCCTGTGCCTCCAGCCCTGTTATCCCCTCAGCACTGTCAAGCATTGGAGAGCAGGGAGAGACAGGTTGCAGGCGCTGAGTAGCGCTTTCTCTTGCTGCGTGCTGCCTTCCCAGCCCCCAGGGTTGAGTGGTGGCACACAGTAGAGCCCGGTGACTTCCTCCTGTGCTCCCGCTGATGCCAGGAGAGTGGAATTCCTGATGAGGCATCCCAGTCTCCCGGCATTGTCAAGAGCCTGGAGGGGAAGCTGATGACAGCCATGCAAAATGATTGGAGACTTTGCTGACTGTCACCAGCTAAAATAAGTTTGCCAGGGCAGCAACCCTTTTTTGCAGCTCTGGCCAAGGGACTGAGATGGCTTAGGTTGGACAACCTGCTAAACCACAGGGATTTTTACTAAACCCAGCAACAAGCCATGGCTACTTGGGGTGGTTTGTAAGCACCCCTTCCCCAAAGCGGGGGGGGGGGGTTTAGACAACACCCCCCCCCCCAGTTTAACATGTGCTGTGAAACCAGTCAGAGAAGGGGTGGCCCTGGGCTGCATTTGGCTGTACCCGCTGTTATGAGTCTTGTGACCGATGACTCCCAAGAGAATGTAGCTGACCAAAAAAAGGTTCCCAGGAGCTGGAAATAATTGGATGGTGATGGTGATGCTTTTTGCTATTTTATCTTTTTTGTAGCCCTTTGTCTGTAAAAGCAGCCGTGTTGTTTCTTGGGTTTAAACAATCTTTACTGGGATCAGTCAGGCAACAGCAAGAGCAAACACGGGTGGGCCCCAGACCCCAAGCCAGAAGGAGCCTGAAACAAGACTTAGAGCCAAAACCAGTTGTATTTTAGTGCACTGTAGAATAAACAGAGGGGGAATTAAGCGCCCCAAATCAAAGTCTCAAAAGAAGTACAGAAAACATACATTATATACCCTATATCACAGGCATGATGTATGGATACATGGTAGATACTTTAACATATTGCTAATTGACACCATTTGTTATTTCTTTGAAGGAATCTTTTGTCCTCCCAAGGACTTCCTCCCCAAATATCCACTAACAATCTTTCCACCCTTCACACCAGCTTTATTTTCTACTATTACTCATAATACATTTTGCTACTTTTATTGAAATTCAATCCGGTTTCAGGCACCATGAGTTCTCCCCATCTGCCTCTCCTTTGGGATTCCACTGACCTGTCGCAGGAGTTCCCACGGGGTTCACTGCTCCTTCTTTCCCTGCTCCCTCCTGGACAGGAATATGGCTGCTATGCTTTGGTGTGTGGCCTTCCTTAGGCTAACTATTGGGGACTTTTGGGGTGCTGATATTGGTAAGAACCCCTTAATTTTTCCCCTTTTGGAAAACAAGTCTTTCCATGTTTTAAATGAAAATTTTGTGGGGCAAAAGCAAATATATGCAAACATGGGTACTTAAAGTTTCTGAGAGATTAACAGCAAACAGTGGGTGTTGGGTTGGGGACAGGGAAAGAGCCACTCCGCCAAGACGCCATCCATGGTCTGAGAGTGTGGCACATGTTGTTCAATCAGATTGAGTGTTCCCTGCCGCCTAGGAACTGCTTTTGAAAGGACAAATTTGATTCACAGGGTGCTGTTTCGGCATCTGATACCTAATTTTCTTCCCTTACGCAGTCTGCATCATAAGGGTTATACACAGGCTCTGCCTGACAGGTTCATACTACTTTTTTCCAGTGAGGTAGCTAGTTTATACACTCTGAACTGTCTAGATCATTTTTCACAGATACTCTTTCCTTGGGAAATTTCTAGCAGGAAATGTTATACCATCTGCCTGCCAGCTGGGGCAAGATATTTTCTACAAAGCTAGCGACAGTGTATTATATTACCAAAGATCTAAGCACTCGCTATAATAAAACAATCTGTTCTGCCTCTCTTTTTTAAAAAATGTAAACCACCTCACTTTTTATTTTAAAGATTGAGAAGGTAAAAAGAGAACAATATGCTTTCTGTATTTGTGGATTTTGCCATTGGCTTGCATTAACATAGTGCAGCTGAAATTCCCTTGGCAGAGAATGCACCAAATGACCCCAGTGCTCTAACTACCTTGGTAATGTTTCACATTTATTCGTGAGGAGTGTTTGAACTTGCCCTGGTTGGTTTGAAGAAAGATCTTCATGTTTAGGGATAAGGATAAAGATAAGTGTACAGGAAAGATGTACACAGATGTATACCCTTGATGGATACAGTGATAAAGAAGGGAAAGCAACGCCATAGTTTGCAGGTGTGCCTGTGAACAGGAGAAAGTACTGGTGGAAACAGTTGTGATTATCCCTTTGTATACACCACAGCTATCCTTGTGCTAGTTTACTCTAAGATGATTCTTTGTGTGTCACTTGAGGGTCATATGAGAAATTTTTCCTCTTCAAAATATTTTGAAGGTGTAGTTATTATTCCAATATGAGTATTAATGTGGGTAAGGCACTTAGGTAAAGTACAATCTTTGTTCTTTTAATGTTTCTTACCTGAAAAAACTGACAAAGTAGTCTACCTCTTTTGTGATGATTTATACAGTGCGGGATAATGCTGAAAGTAAATGTCACAGGGTTGGAACCAGACTCAGTCGTACTTGGAGTACACCTGCTTCTGCCATAGCTGAAGTCTGGATTCAGTTCATAGTTTTTAATTGCTCAATTCTTTCTTGCAGGCAATGCTATTGAATAACATCACAATGAGTGACAGGCTGATCCAGAATCTTCATGGTAAAACTCAATAAAGGCCCATTTTATAACAAGCAAGATGTTGGAAATCTATGACAGGATACCCACCCCCTTTAATTCGTATTATCTTGTATTAAAAAGCAGCAGTAAAAAGGCTCAGTTTGGATGAAGACTCTCTTGCTGTGGGGGATTTGGAGGGTTGTTTTTCTGGTGAAAGTTTCTATTTGCCCTGTTAGGGAATAACGATGGGAAACAGTAGCTTTGGAAGGTGGCTATAGTCATGAGGAAATCAGCATAGTAGGAAGGGTTAACCCTTCTTTCCTCTCCCACAGTCATAGTCCCAGTCCAAACCATAAGGTTGTCTGGTTTTTTCCCCCTAAAATTTAAGAGATGATTCACTAAATCTTACTTAGTTTAGACCTGAGTGGGATGGTGTAACTTGATGTCCTGCAACAGCCGGGGGTTGGACCCAATGGCCTTCTTAGAGCCTTCCAGCTCTACTATTCTATTATTCTATGACCTCAAGTTTTAGCTGTAGTGTATTTTAGTTTGACTGTAATGTTTCAAAATATAAATTGCAAGGAAAATGGTATATAAATAAATACACATTCTTATTTAGTGAAAAATGAAGAGGCAGGTGACTGTAATAAAAACACCAAGTTACAAATATTACTGTTTTATGAAGGACTGAAACCATAAGTTAGTTGTAAGAAATATACTACTAGCTTAGATCCACATAAACTCATGGGGGAAAGTGCCAGTAGAAATAGGAAATGCTGGATTTCAGGGTAGATGGAGCCAAGGCTATAACAAGATAGCAGGGTATCTGTTGAAGGGGAGGGAGGGAGGGAGAGGAATAAGGTTTATGGTCTTCTAATGTGCATTTGATGAAAATTCTCCTAGCATCCATTAACAATTGTTCTGATGGCAAAAATAGGCAAGCTCTTAGGAAGAAGGTGAAAAAAAGACTGGGGAAAAATGCTCCAAACCTCTTCTTAGAGCATGGTCTGGTTTGGATAAATCTGTGTAACAGATTATTCTCCTGGCAACAGGAATTTGGAAAGGTAGCTTCTTGGTACCTTCTAGTTATGTTTCGAAAGATGCAATACTAAACATGCTCAATAGGGAGCAATGCCCACTGAGGATAGTGGCATGTGCTTTCCAGTAAATGCGATTGTTCTTCCCAGGTCACACAGACTTAACAGAAGGAGGGTTTTAATGCATGATGAAAGAAATAGTAGCATTCTTATGCCTATTTCCCCCTCCCTCAAACTATGTTCGTTTCCCTATTAACAACTTTAACTATTATTAACATTAATTTTGACTCAGAACACTTGAAATTGCTACAGAATGAATATGAAAAGCTGCAACTGGACGTAGTCATGTTTCAGAAAAACCAGACTAGCCTTCAGAAGAAATGTACAGATGACATGTAAGTTTGCACAAATTGGCTTTATATATTTTAGGTACCCGGGGAATGGGTTATCCTATGAAGTTCTTTTGGTCATGGAATGGCTTTCTTCAGGAGAATGGGGATGATTCCCCATCATCCCATCTGGGCCAGATTTGAGTGTCAGGGAAGAAAGGCTCCAGGAAGAATGAAAAGGACCCATCACAGTCAGATGTTTATTTGTACAAGATTGGATTTTGCCCACTATACCCTAAGATTGTTCATCTTAAGCTTAATTCTGAATACATTACCTATATTGAGTTCTTTGTAAGAAAAATGTGGATATAAATCAAATAGCTACTGTAAGTTACTGTAATAAATAGTAAGACTTATACAAGATCGTGCTGTTAATTACCTGTGTTATTGACTCACAAATCCAGGCATTTCATTCTGCTACTTTGTCTATATACAAATAAAAACTACAAAGGCCCTATATTGATTTTTCCATTGAACTTACGAATGTTTCGGTGTCTCTGAAATCCAAACAATGAGTGCAAAAGCAGAAAGCTTAAGTCCAAGAGAGAACAAATATTTTTAAAGGGGTTCCATATGCCAATTAATGTAGACCTGCACATATGACTGTAGAAGACAAATCAAGAGCTTCCTAGCTGTTGATCACAACTCACCAAGAGCTTAGTAGATGACCTGTTCTCGCTGATCTCTCCAGGACTGCAGCACATGGTAGTCTACAATATAGAGCTGGCCTGCTTTGATCATTTAGTACATTTATATCCTCCCCTCCCTTCAGTGAGCTTAGTTCAGTTCTTCGCACGCCAGTTTTATCCTCACTGAAGGAACTTCATGCCTGGGTGGGCATCTGAATTGGGGCCTGCTCAACACGACCACTGTGTCAGATGAGCTGAATGCATTGCAGTTTGTACAGATCTTCTGTGTTCAACCAGACTCATCTGAACAAATGTATTCTGTTCTTTGCTCCAAGGAATCAGTGCATTGGTCAGCTCAAACAACTAAATGAACAATGTGAAGAAAGGATAGAGGAAATCTCAAAAAGAGGCAGCAAGATACAAGAGAAAGAGAAGAAAGGCACCTCAGATGTATTGGACAAGAATGATCAGGTAAGATGTTAAATTTCTCTTTTGAGGTGTAATTTTTCAGAAACCATAGCTGCAGAGTTGAATTTGGTTGAGTTAATTCAGCTCACTATTCACAGTACCGTATCAGGGACGGCAACTAAACTTGCAGGGGGTTTATAACAACAAGAAGGTGATTGTTGGTGAAACAAGAGGCTTCTTTCCTACATCTCCACGTTTGGATTGCACTTCGTTTACTGCTGCTTTGAACTCAGCATTTTGCAGTTTGTGTATGGTCTTCTAAGCTGAGGCGTATTCCAAGACCTGACTCTAGCAGATTGGGTTAAGATACAGCAGCAGATGCAGTTATTCTAGCACTGTAATTGAAGTGCAGGCTTGTATCTCAGGAGAACCATACTTATTTTCTTACTCACAAGTAGAATCAGTACATCAGTGATCCTCTGCCAGACTTTGGTACCCATATTCTGCCTGTATATCATTCACTCTAACAGTAATTCCAGAAGTGGAAAGACTGGATTGCCTCCATGACAACAGGTTGGGAAGAGTCAAGTCACTTCCCCACTTGTGCAGTGGCCTTGGTCCAAATTGCCTCTAGGAAAAAACCTTGAGTATCTCTAGGGGGAAAAGGTGAAGATCTCTAGAATCTTTGCACTCAATGAGAGACAAAACATGTGAGTGAGGCTGGCTAGTGCCAAGACAAAGAGCATGGTGTCCCTAGAGATATTCATAGTTTTTCTCTAGAGATATTTATGCTTTTTCTACTTTCGTGAGAGTCTTGTATCCCTAACCCCTGTGAATGCAGGGGTTACAGATGAACAGTATATAGTGTTCACTACTATCCGTAGTTTTAGGCATCTGTTGGGGGACTTAGAACCTCTCCCCTGAAGAACTGGTAAAAGACTTCCTTTCAGTTTAGCCATTGGTCAGTATTCAATTTAAAAAAGTTCATACAAAGAATATTAATTTGGGTTAATGAATCATATGGATGCAATGTTGCTGGTTTATTTTTTAAAAGGTTAATACTCGGGTGCCAACATTTGGACAGACAGATCCACAGCATAATGACCTCACAAAACAGGGAAACACTCCTCAAAAAAATCTCTACATATCTGAAGATTCAAAGCCAGCAGCCATCGTAACAAATGTGGCAGAACTAGAGGATCACAGAGAAAAAGGTAAGAACATGGCAACAAAGATGACCAATCATTTAAAACCTATCAGGATAAGCTAAAAGAAATGTAAAGCAGCTATTTCAAGAGTGAGGCGTGCATTCCGTTATAATCTGTTTTCCCGTGTGTTCATAGCTAATCAATACCAAACCATTTCCCAAAATAATATTGGTTCAGAATCTTCCCTTGATAAAAGTAATCACCTTTCAGTGTCTATGTTTAGACTTCTAGGTATTTAAGTAGCTATATTAAGAAACATATTTGTACGAATAACAGTGTTTCAAACACAAGGTTGTGAGACTTGGGCTGAACTCAATTAGTTTATCAGATTCTACTTTCTTGTGATCTGTAGAGTTACTGCAATGGATCCAGACTGGCTTTTTGCAGCCAGAGCATTCAGCTCGGTGGACACGCCCACCGGGATGGTGGAATTGACAAAAGTGCCTTCCGTAGCAGGATTGGTTGCTTTCTGTGAGCTTCACATCTGTGGAGTCAAAGTCTGGATGCAACTTATCTTTACAGCTGTTCTCATGTGCTGATTAGTGCAAATAACAGCTCCTGGTTTCATGGCGAGCAGGATGATAGAATGTGTTCTTTGCTTATGTTTTCACCCATTAAATTAGCAAGATATTTCATTAGTGCAAGAAACATGACAGCTAATGATGAAGAAGTTGGATAAGCCAGTTTGGTGTTGATGTGGAAAAAATATCTCCTGTATTTGTGTAGCCACTCTGTATATTTTCTGTGCTTTCCTGTAGTATTTAAGTCATTCTAGTGACCTTTTTGTTATACCCTGTGAATGACTTGATTAAAACACCCAGATGATGTCTTTCTTTTGGGCACAGGTGCACTGATTTAGTAGCCTATATTCATGTTTTTCTAATATAAAGATTAATTTCTGCTTCAAAATACATTTCCAAGCCATGTATAAAGGAATCCTCTGGTTCTCAGTTTATATAGGAAGCTAAGCGACAGTATCTTGGGGGTGGGCTGTGTGTGACCCATTTCAGCTGTTTTATCACATTCTCCTGAAATTCATATTTGAGGCCAGGGATGGAGAACATATAACCCTCCTAATGATGGACAGCAACTCCCAGCATCCCTCATCATTGTCCATGCTGACTAGGGCTGGTCATCAGAAGCGTCACTTTCCCCACTGCTGGTCTGCAAAACTTGGAACTACCTATTCAGTGACTAACTGGCCCGATAAGTCATTTTCAAGAAGGTTTTTAAAATAGACTAAACATGTATACTGTCAGTAAAAACAAGACCAGGAGCTGACTGTGGCTCAGATCATGAGCTTCTTGTTGCAAAATTTAGGCTTCAATTGAAGAAAGTAGGGAAAACCACTAGGCCACTCAGGTATGACCTGAATCATATCCCTGATGAATATACAGTAGAGGTGACAAATAGATTTAAGGAATTAGATCTGATAGACAGAGTGCCCGAAGAACTATGGATGGAGGTTCGCAACATTGTACAGGAGGTAGCAACTAAAACCATCCTAAAGAAAAAGAAATGCAAGATAGCAAACCTGCTGTCTGAGGAAGCATACAAATAGCTGAGGAAAGAAGGGAAGCGAAAGGCAAGGGAGAAAGAGAAAGATACACCCAATTGAATGCAGAGTTCCAGATAATAGCTAGAAGAGATAAGAATGCCTTCTTAAATGAACAGTGCAAAGAAATAGAAGAAAACAATAAGGAAGACTAGAGATCTCTTCAAGAAAATTGGAGATATGAAGGGAACGTTTCATACAAAGATGGGCATGATAAAGGACAAAAATGGCAGGGACCCAACAGAGGCCGAGGGGATTAAGAAGAGGTGGCAAGATTACACAGAAGAACTATACAAGAAAGAGCTTAACGTTCCTTATAACTACGATGGGGTGGTCACTGATCTCGAACCAGAGAACCTGGAAGTCAAAAGGGCTTAGGAAGTCTTAGCAATGATAAAGCTAGTAGAGGAGACAGTATTCCAGCTGAGCTATTCAAAATCCTAAAAGACAATGCAGTAAAAGTGCTACACTCAATATGCCAGCAAACTTGGAAAATTCAACAGTGACCACAGGATTAGAAAGGTTAGTTTACATTCCGATCCCAAAGAAGGGCAATGCCAAAGAATGTTTAAACTACTGCACTATTGCACTCATTTCACATGCTAGCAAAATTATGCTCAAAATCCTACAAGCTAGGCTCCAGCAGTATGTGGACTGAGAACTACCAGAAGTACAGGCAGGATCAAATTGATCAAACTAGAGATCAAATTGCCAACATACACTGGATCATGGAGAAAGCTAGGGAGTTCCAGAAAAACATCTACTTCTGCTTCATGGACTATGCCAAAGCTTTTGATTGTGTGGATCAGAACAAATTGTGGCAAGTTCTTAAAGAGATGGGAGTACCAGACCATCTTATTGGTCTCTTGAGAAACCTATATGTGGGTCAAGTAGCAACAGTGAGAACTGGACATGGAACTACTGATTGGTTCAAATTTGAGAAAGGAATTCGGCAAGGCTGCATTAACTAATATGCAGAGCACATCATGTGAAAGATGGGGCTAGATGAATCACAAGTCAGAATTAAGATTGCCGGGAGAAATATCAACAACCTCAGATATGCAGATGATACACTCTCATGGCAGAAAGTGAAGAGGAACTAAAGAGCCTCTTGATGCGGGTGAAGGAGGAGAGTGCAAAAGTTGGCTTGAAACTCAACATTAAGAAAACTAAGATTATGGCATTTGTTCCTATCACTTCCTGGCAAATTGATGGGGAAGTTATGGAGGTAGTGACAGATTTTATTTTCCTGGGCTCCAAGAGCACCGCAGACAGGGCCTGCAGCCAAGAAATTAAGAGACGCCTGCTCCTGGGAGGAAAGCTATGGCAAATCTAGACAGCATACTAAAAAGCAGAGACAGCACCCTGCCAACAAAAGTTTGTATAGTCAAGGCTATAGTTTTCTCAATTGCAATGTATGGCTGTGAAAGTTGGACCATAAGGAAGGCGGAGTGCCGGAGAATTGAACCCTTTGAATTGTGGTGCTGGAGAAGACTCCTGCAAGTCCCTGGACTGCAAGGAGATCAAACCAGTCAGTCTTAGAGATCAGCCCTGACTGCTCTTTAGAAGGCCAGATATTGAAGATGAAACTCAAATACTTTGGCCACCCAATGAGAAGGAAGGACTCAGTGGAGAAGACCCTAATGCTCAGAACAATAGATGGCAAAAGAAGAAGGGGACGGCAGAGAATGAGGTGGCTAGACGCAGTCACTGAAGCAGTTGGTGTGAGCTTAAGTGGACTCAGGAGGATGGTGGATAGGAGAGCCTGGAGGAAGGCTGTCCATGGGGTCATGATGGGTTGGGCACAACTTTGCGACTAGCATAACATAAACCTGTAGACCCACCAACTTGAGAAACCACGTTTAATGTTTATTAAACATTAATAAAATTTTTCATGTTGTGGAATAAGTTAGGAAAGAAGAGTAGTTTCTTAAGTCTGAAGTGCTTAATTTTGTTTTAGATGGTTTTTCCTTCTAATTGTGATTTTATGATTGCCTGCAGAAGGAACAGATGCGACTGATGCTATCCATAAACAGAAATCTCCGAAAGAGGACCTTTCTATTGAAAAGGACCATCCAGATATACCTTCTAGCAAGGTTCATAAAGAATTGCCTCGTGATCCAGGAATAGAGCAGAATGTATATGAGGAGATTAGAAATGTACTTGGAGCAGCTACATTAGAAGAGCAGACTGGCAAATTTCCAGCACCTGGAAATCCTATGGGCCATCAAAGCGCCCATCAAGCAAAAACAGATGAGGAAGAAATTGAACGAGAGCAGCTCTTAAATGATGATCTACAGCAAGATGACCAGGAGACCAGTAAGGATGGTTAGTATACAGACCAAGCTGATGTCCATGTACTGTACTGGGATTGCCGCATTTTGGGGTTTAAATCACCGCCAAGCTTGCAAAACACACCTGCAAGCTATTAATTCAGGATCTGTCCTATTCATGAAAGCATTCACATTGTGTGGCAGTAACATAAACATCTTATAACAATATTGTCTGAAATATTTTGGATATGGTATTCTGTGCTAAGCAAGTTCCCACTCCTACTTATAATGACTTAGTGATCCACAAGAAAGTTAAATGCAAAACATTTACTTTCTGCAACCTTGATCTATGCTATACTTCTTGCATTTTAACATTATCAATACTAAATATTAAGAAGCTTTTATAGATATATTAGGGGTTAAAATACCCAGTTAGTCAATGCTTTAAAATTGTTGCTATTTGCAAGCCAAACTGATTAATTCAGATGTCTACAAATAGGCAGCCTTGGTACCTAAATAAAATATCCTGTTGAGTGCCAGATTTTGAAAAAAATACATAATTGTCTTGTTTATAAGCTCCACAAGGGCTTTGCTGGAGCAGGACCATATTTGCTCTAGTAAGACAATTGTTTTAAACAGTCGTTTCTTCACTTTGAACAAAGCTTTTTTTTTGCCAGAGTTTGCTATGTCAGCAGCAGCTCAAGTGGCATTGAATACAAGAGCCAACGATCTTTTGACAATGCAGAACTCCCTTTACTGCACTGGCATTGCACAATAATGTGTATATTTCTACTCCTTTCCAAAGACTTAGGGACTCCTGTGGAGTGCTGCTGGATTAGAGTAAAGTGCTGCCAACCATCCTGAAAGTTCAGGGCTCCATAAGACAGCTCCATGTAGACACTTAAGGTGTAAAGACTTGTGCATGCATTGGGATAAAGGCATAGAGACTGCACCAGCACCCGTTAAGATTGGACATGGAGATGTTCTATTGCCTGCCATAGTCATTAAAAGATTTACAAACATGGAAGCGACTTTCAGTTGCTTTTCTGTGGAGTCTGTGGGCTATAAAGCTTATGTTGGCCAACTTAAGAAGATGAGTTTAGATTTCCTCTAAAGCAAGGTGAAGGAATATGGCCAGCTGCTTTTCTTTGCCACCACTGCATTGCATTCCACCCGCTTCCTGCCATGTCATCCCCCCACCCCTTTCCCATATGGCTCCTTAGTGCATCAAGTGTCTCCTTCCTCCCACTGCATCATGTCCAGTGTCTGTTGTTGTGCATCTTTAATTCCGCAAGCCACAAGGCCAAAGGCAAGCATATGGTGCTGCACTTAGAGCTGGGCAAGCTGAAGTGCCTGGCTCTGAAGGGGTCCTTGTTCAGAATCAGGCATTTCAGCCTGGCTAGCATTCTGAAGAACCATACCGGCTGTTTCTTCAACCAAAGAGGTTGCTCCAAAAAGCCCCATCAGCCACTCTGTGGCTGCTGCAACTGCTGGAGGCAGCAAGAGGTTTTCCTAGCACAGGGCGCAGGAGAACGAGCAATTTGTCACTCCCCCCATTGTAGTCCCTGTGACAAGGGCAGCAACCTTGCCTCATGGGAGGACTGGCCCTGGGCAATGTACAGGAATCATTAAAATAAGCATGAATGCTGGGGAAAATACTGGCTTGTATACAGCTGCTAAAGGGAACAGTTGCGTCAACAGCAGTGGAGAAGACAACCCTCCTCTGCCCTCAGTATCTGCTCTGGAGGGCTCAGTAAGCCGCAGGAGCAGATTATTGGGCAGCACAGGGAGGAGGAAAAGGCTTTAGATTTAGCCTGGTAAGTACATCCTGATGATAACTTCCCTCAATCAGTTAAATTATTAGAAAGACAGCTTTGTACAAAATCAGCCAGTTAACCAGGAACATACAACTGTTTCTGGAGAGTCAGTAGAAAAACTAGCTTATTCGTGGAGGTGCCTCCTAGTTTGGCCTAGCCTGTGGCTAATACTTTTTTCAAAGGACATGGTGGACAAAGATCATGCCACATTTAGATCACAGGAAGGCAGCAAGAAGGGACTATGGAAATACTAACAGTTTAGCTCTAGCAGGCCACCACTATCAGTCCTACCACTTTAGAGGCAAAACAGCAATCTTCGTTACCATTTTTTTAAAAAAAGTATAATTATCCTGTATATTAAATGTAAGTTATCTGAAAAAGCTCAAATACAATTCAAGATTTGACATTCTAGAATGTTTTTGCAGTAACAGTAGTAGGCTGTTCCATTCCATAGTGTAGACACATAAAGGTATTATATGGATTTGTCTTTGCAGGTGATTTGGAACTCAAAGCAGTAATCCAGGATAACAAAGAAGTTGATTACAATTTAGATGTGAATGAAGCAGAATCTGAAACAGATAAGCAAGGTGCCCTTGTGGAGCACAAAAATAACTTCCATGGTAAATCCTTGTTAACCCTATTGTATCTTCTGCATTGTTTGAGTTTTAGAAGGCTATAAACCATTTCATACCATGGTTAGTTTCGATGTTGGTTAGTCCAGTGACTTTGTAAATATTTTTCTTCACATTAAGATAGGGAGTTTAGCAAACTGACTCCTGATTTGACAGTTTGGAAATAAGCTATATACACTTAGTTAATACTTGCTTGTGGGAAAAAAGTGAAAACAGTGCCACTGCAACTTAATATGTTAGAGTCACCTGATGCAGGCTGACATAAGAATCCACTCCTTTGTTATCATAGGATAGCTGTGTTGTGCAGAGGAGCTGCTTCACCAAGAGTAGCTATATAGGCTCTTCTAGGGTTGTTGTCACTCATATGGGTTGTTTCACTGCCTGAATCCAGATTATGAAACTCACACTGGGTGAGCCCCAACAGCCAGTGAGTTTGTTTATTATAGTAATTTTATGCCACCCCTGTCGCAGAAAGCCTTGGGGCGGCTTACAAAGCAAGTTGCCCCTTGAGAGCAGCAAAAATCCTTTGCTGCTCTTGCCAAGTGGCTGCCAGGGAAGTACCATTGACAGGAGCTTTCTAAGTGCTCAAGCACCGTTTAGGGGGCAGCCAGGGGCAGGAGTTGCCCCCCTCCAGCACTTCAGGACATATACCCCATTTGTGCTGTGGGACAAATATTTTTTTAAATTATTCTTTTGTCTCTTTAGTATGGACAAGGCTCCCACCCTGAAAAGGGATTAGCTTCAGCCTCTAGCCTTGGCTGAGGCAGTGTGCAGAAGGCTGCCCACTGCTGAGCCTGGAAGCTGAATTCATGGAATATTACAGATTCTCTGACAGCTACAGCAAGCCAACGTCAGTTCACAATCATGAGCTGTCAGTTCACTGTCAGAGATGGGAGACTCATTTCTCCAGGCAGTATCCCCTGGGATACTGCCTAGCGAAAGCAAGGGCAGGGAGGGAGCGAACTATCCACTATGTGTTAGCTTGTCTGCTCACTGTGGCTATCTTGCAAAACAGCCGGTCCACCAGGGCCAACTGCCAGGGCGAGCCTGTTTGCCTTGTAATCTCAGTCACTGCTTCAGTGTTCCGCGGATGCACATTGTATTTGTGGGTAAACATTCCGTAATAGGCTTCTTTCTGAGGCTTTCAATATATTCTGACTATCATTATATTTCCCCTTTTTTTCAGCCCAGAACCTTGAAGATCACAACATGCAAAACCACTTATTTAAGGTTGGTAGAGATAATCAACAGAAGCTGTGAATGGGTTCAGTGTGAGACTCTTGTAGAAACTACTAACATTAAGGCAAGCCTATGTACTCAAGACTTGAAAAATTCAACTGGAATTGATCACTTGGGTTTTATTTAAATCAGTTCTGACCTCGTACAAACTTGCCTCCAGTCTGCTTAAGCAATAATGTGGTATTGCACCATTGAACTGGGCCATGATTGTGTTTGAAGAAGAGGAATCTCATCTTTTATGGTATATGGAATCCATTCCTGGTCCTCATCTACCTAGTCTGGTTTGTCTTCTTGAACTGACAACAAAATTCCAGATGCCTTGCCACGAAAACTGGAATTGTTGCTTAAGTAGATGTTCAATTTAAAGATGCTGTTATTCTTTTTCCCCGCTCATGTGTCCTTCCGTATATGACTCATAATTTTACAAACCAAGTGAACTCAGAGAATAGATTTTATACTTATTTTCTGTAGCAGTTTCCTCTACAAAGAAGATATTCTAGATAATTCAGGGAGGTTGATCCTATAATATATGTTAAATCTTATTTAATTCAGTGGGACTTACTTCCAAGAAAACATGGGTAAGATTGAGCTGTATTTGCATTTATCTCATTATCTCAAATGGTATTCTCTCTGCTTTGAATAGCAGGACCTTGTAAAAATATTTACTGTATGTAGTGGAAGCACTCCTGAATTTCTGTAAAGCAGGTTTTAAACAGTCTGTGAATTTTCACATATAAGAACAGCTGCCCGTGTGTTTATGATCTTACCGCAATTTGAATATGTGGGGAAGATGGCTCTGTAGTCCCCAAATGTGTCTGCTGCTTCATGACAAGTATCTTATTCTGCTATAAAAAGCATAGCCACAATATGCTAATCCTACCACAGAGGAAAGAACATGGTACTAAACTAGTACCAATGTTCTTCATAACGTTTCACCTCTGTTACAGAAATATGTTCTGCCACCTAAAGGTAATAGAAACATAATGAATGTGCTATAAATCTGTTCCAGAAAGGAATGTTTCAGCTAATTCAGTGTTTTGTCAAATTTAACAAAGTACTTAATATTTTCAGCTCTGTATATAACAATGTTGGGTTAATTTTGATTACTTTAATAAAAGCAGAAAGCCTATTAGAAGAACAATGAAGAATTAAACGGTTTACAAGATTTTACTAATCTGGTTGATCATGTCCTATCACCAATAAAATGCATCCATGGGAAACTAAATGTACTACAGTGTGTCTGGATTTTTATGTGCATTTCACTCCTATTTAAACTAGCAAGTAGCCGACTTATTTCAAAACTCTGAAGTTTAAAACATTTCCAACAAACTACCTGGCCATTTTTATTAGCACAGATAAATTCCTAAAATGTAATGGTGCTGTTCTGGTTCAAGTAATATTAAATGCTTCATATATATTATCTCTGCCTTATATTTCAAATCTGTGTAAAGAAAACAACAACCCTTAAATAGAATTATGCCTGGAACCATACAACTCCTAAACCATTTAGGTCCTCAAAACAGGAAGTGGGCAAATGCAATTTTATTGTTTAATAATAAAATGCTGGTGTAGAGCAGACTTTTTAAATGATAACAGGAAAAAGAAATGTAACCATTTGTGGGAGAGCTTCCCAAAAAATCCCAAACTGTGCAAAATCTTTAATACCATAGATGTTGCTTATTAAAAGCCAGGATGAGAAACTAAGCCAAAAGAAATAAACAAACATGAGACATTCCCAGCCTGTCTGAAATACTCATATAAGTGCTCAACTTCTCCCTTTCTTTAAATGCTTCTGATTCAAATTATATGCCATTCAGAATTAATACCTAGTCAAACTATAGGGCTGAAAAGGGGACATTTTTGTATTACTTGTAAACTAAAAAATAAAAAACGAGTTCCTATAGAAACATGCAGTGCCAAACTAGTACATTCTAGTTTGTATTGTTTAGAGTTGAATTCTGCTTTTACTCACCAATACGTATTAGACCATAATAGCTCCCTTATTTCACTGTAATTTCAAAGTGGTCAAGAATGTTATGAAATGTTTACAAATGTTCAAACACCATTCATAAAAATGATTTATAGGTAAATCAATAAAATCAAAACATACAATGCTTTAACGATGTAGTTGATAAAATCAGTTCCAACAGCAGAACATTACACAAACCACTTTAAAACAGCAGTTGTCATTGGGCTATTGTAAGGAAGTGAGAATAAAGTTACTCTCAATACAGCAGTATTTTTGTCTAAGAGCACCATTGTCCCTTTTTAGCACAGTATAAAAGAGTTTACCCAAGGAAACTCTGTTAGCAATTTACAGTTCATCTGTTCTAATCCCTTGAACTTTCAAACAAGCTTCACTACTGGGAAGTATCTGTGAGGGGAGAAGTCAAATTCTGGAGGAACCTAGAAAAAAGAAATATTTAAAAATAGTTCAGTGAATGCCTAAATTACTAAGCTAGCAAAATAGTCTCTAGTTCATGCTACTGCTTTAAAATATGAGCGAGTGAGAAAAATCCCAAAGATAAATTGTACTTATGTGAGAAAAATCTCTAATGCAAGATTCTTGCCAGATAAAAACTTCACAGTTACAGAATTGTGCTAAGATCAGAGATGCTATAGTCAGAATTTGGTAGACAATCTGTGTTTCCAACCCAGCAGAATTGCACCAAAACAGACCCAAGACTTCATGAGAATCTGATCACTGTCTTTTCCACATGGCACTTACTTAAGAATCTTTGCAGAGGAAAATACGCTTTCTGCAGGAAATGCTTTGTTGTTTGTTTTGATGTAAGCATGAGTTAATAATTAGAATTGACACTAGAATGCCATGTGACCTGAGCAGTAGACTCCTACGCCGCTAGACAGCATTTTAAAGACCGTAGGATATATTTTTTGGATTTGCAGGTATGAAGTTCGAGAATTACTGACTCCAGATTCTTCTCCCCTCCCCTCTTAACAATGACCTCAGGGAAGAGCTTTTAGGGTATTCCAGGTTGAGGACACAGTTTGCCATCAATGTACAATATATTCTGGCAGTGCCCTACCCATTTTCCTTCCTGCCCAAATGCTTCACTTAGTCAAAATGGGCCATTTCAGTGCTTTGCAGAGCAAGTGCTCTTCTTCCACCCTCCACAGAATGCCTGTACTCAAGTTTGGATGATTACAGGCATCCCTGTAAGACGGCACCCCTTCACACACAAGCCATGCACAATGAATTAGGAATATTAGTTGGCCATCCCTCTAATATCTACAAAAATATTTTCTAAATTTACAAGATAATTGGAAATACTCAATATTCCACCCCCCAATATACTAACTTAATTTTAATAAAAAACAGTTGATGCACTGCATTGGTACAGCAAGTTGATACAATTCAAAATAACTTAGCATAATCTTAAATATGAAAATCTTGAGTCAGCCTTTGAAAATCTACCAGTTATACTATTAGCATACCATTAAAGTATACCAATTAGTTATGGTCCTCTAGCTTTTAAGATACTTTCCACATGCCAAGTTTTTTTTTTTTTTTTTTGATAGATTCCAATGTTATATTTCAACAGCAGTAATTTTAATTTAGTTGCAATTTGCTTACTTTAGAATCCTTTTTGTGACCTCCTGCCAGCAACTTCATAACCACAAAATTGGGTTTAGCAACCTTAAGAATTCGGTTGACCTAAACAGAAATATTCAGATTTCATACAGTTTGTAGACACAGGGAAAAGTTAATACTGAGAGATATGAATCACTTAATTCAACACTTAAAACAGTTATTGCATCAAGCCATTTATAAAGAGGCAAATTGTATTTGTCTTTCTTTGCTTATTAAGCTGTTCCTAAAACAGCAAAATGTTCTTTACACAAACACAGACATTCTGGTTCTAAGGCATTATAAGCCAAACTGATTCTGTGCTGCTAAATATTACTACTAATATTCCAGTTCACAGTATTCTCATTGAAATCAATGGGGCTTAAAGCATGGCAAACACTGTGCTGACTTGCAGCCAATAGCTTTTAAAAGCTATATTCATTAAAAATATACATTTTTTCCACATTGGGAGATGAACCTCTTCACCAGAATCCCTCACTGAACAAGATTACAAAGGCAGCAGCTAAGCCACTGCTGCACAGCTGGTTGCCCTTAGACAGTCAATCAACAGGTAGGAAAACAGTGGGCAACAAGACAGATACCTCACTAATTTGACATGGCTGAGACAGAGTCTGGAAGAAACTAGCAACTGCCTTCTACCCTATGAAGTTTAAGTATGTTTTTATTTAAATAAAAAATTTCAACCTAAAAAAAAAAAAAAAATTTCAACCTATGAAGTTTAAGGAGAGCTGTTCCCAGTGCTGAACTATAATGACAATTCATTGTTCTTCAATTTAGAAGTAGCAAGAGAATAGCAAACTCTTCGAGAAGCGACATGGAATGCGACATTTATAAATTCAGTTAAATCCAAGCATCCAATCTATCTATTTTCCAGCCTGACCAAAACAACCACCCCCACTCTATAGCCTTTTCAATTAATGAAAGCAATTCCTATGATCCATTTACCAACTCCGGAGCAATGCAGAAAAGAGCTCCACTTCCACCGTAACTGGGGAACACTTTGTGTAGTCTTCCATCAGGGCAGTTCAAATGATGATAGTCAGCTCTATATTAACAAGGTTGGGTAGGCTCTGCACACATGCCCTTTTCCTCCCCAAGTATAATTTAGCATGTTCACTGGCAAAATTGCAAGACACAGCAGTCAACAATTTACTATCCCTGTTTAAAAAGTCTCACCTCATGGTCTGGATTAGGGATATTCTCTAGTATCAGTTTAGCTTGCTGGAAGTGTTTGCTAGCAGCCATGTAGAGATCGGAAGACTGAAGAGGAGGACTGTATTTGTTTAGATCAGACATTTCCTAAATACCAGAAAAATAGGTATGGTTTAAAAGTATTTGCGAGCCCCCACCACCAAAAGGGCAGATGGGGAATATGTTTTATGTTCTTTGGAATTAAACGGCACTTCAACATGAGAGACGTGATATGAAGCAGAGCAATTTACACAGATCTACTTCTTAGTTCTTAAATATAATTGGTTAGAAGAGTTCTTTATTCACAAATAGAAAAAGCCAGCTTGTTTGGTAGTACTAATGAATACTTGGGAGCTACCTTTTCATTCTTCTAAAATTTCATTTTTAAGAACCTGGCACCCACTCCAAGGCAGGTGGGCATAAAGGAAGAACTTGACAAGTGACTTATTTATTGAACACAGAAGTTTCCAGAAAGACTGTTGCTTATCATTCTGAAGAAAATTAATTCTACTGGTAAAGATTGTTCATGAAACAGGAGAAGGAAACATGTTTTTACAGCTGAAATTTAAAAAATTCATCAAAATCTTGAACTTTGTAATTAATAAAAACCCACTGATAATATCAAAGGACCAATATTATGTCAGTTACATTTCTGTGATTCACCTTGAATTGCAAATAGTGTACAGGTGGTGGAGTGATGACACTGTTGAATGGTGCAAACCTGTGTTCGTACCGAACTTGCTCACTATCGAGTTCGAACTTTGGCTTTCTCACTTTGCCATCCATGTCAAAAGCAATCATAGTCTTCAGGAAAAGTGGAGAGACAAAAGGAAGAGAAACCAACAGAATAAGAAGTTGGCTTGTTGCAAGGCACTGATAACAGAAAGTGCTACTGCATAAACACACCAAGGTCGCTTCAGAGAGATGCCAGATGAAGAAAAGTAATTGTAGCCACTATACAATGAAACTGACATATAAAGATTCCACTCATTTCTTGAAAGCGAGGTGATGACCTACATGTATTTACTGATCTGTCAAATGTTTCCAGCAGTTCAGAAAAAAAAAGCCACAGCTGCCACATAGGATAAAAACAAACAGGAATTAAAGATACAATTTATCATACGCATGGAATGCATGCGCAAGTTCTAATTTCTAAACAGAAAACAAAGAATGCCAGATAGGCACAGTTCCTTATTCATCTACCTATTTAAATCTATCTATCTATCTATCTATCTATCTATCTATCTATCTATCTATCTATCTATGCATTTATATGCTGCCCCCTAGTCCAATTAGTATCTGGAGTTTAAATTGCATTCACTCGTAACTTTGCAATCAATAACAATCTCCTTGGATCATTCTCCGTGGCTTCAACAACACAGTGCATTGGATAGCTCAGTACAGCTCAATTTGCACGCTAACCCAATATTTGGTGAAGTGTTATAGTACTGGCTGGTGCAAATGTACACTGATAAGCCTTTAACCATGGGATGACGTTTTCTCTCTCTCTACCCCAAGAGTGCATATTCCACTGACAGGCCTGCACTGACATTGGTATTAAACACAATTACAGTTAAACTGGGGTCCTCTTAACCCAGGAACTGAAATTGTTTCACTTCATAACTAAGCAACTGGCAACATTATGTCTGCACCATGCAGTCCTGTGTATAGCATCATTTGGGTTTAAAAGCAGTCCTTAAGGGATGGGTAAGTGCAGTTTTCTTGATTCAGCTGTGAGACATGACTGAATTCCTTTAAAAATACCATCGCAATCCATAATACATCACCTTATACATCCCAGCACACATGTTTTGATAGGCTTGGCTCATGGTGATTTCTCTGCTCAAAGGACGAGCTGCAAATTTTATGCATGAAAATGTTTTACCATAAAGTTGTATCAAACTTCACCATTTTTTAAGTGACAACAAATAAAGCAATTCTGGCATGCTGAAAACTCTTGAACACAATGTCTCCTGAAAATCTGCACAACCTAAAGTTCAACTACTACAGGATACGTATTAGACAAAAATTAAGCTAAAACATCTCGGGTACAGATGAATATTCCATCTGTGCAAAGCATGATTTTCATATATTGTTGGAGTTATGGAAAATAGTAAATATCAAAATGGAGGTGTACAATTGGGAAAGAAACATGGGGCTCTGTTAAACAGCTAAACTGGAATTATAGGTAGACAAATGAGTGCTTGATGGACCCACAGGTAGGTTATACAGAACCAAATACTAAGCAGAGACCTATGATTAGCATAAAAAGATGTCCAGCATGCCAAATTTGGGAAATGACAGTAAAAAGTTAAGAACATATTAAATTTAGGGGGGAAAGTTGTCATTCATTCATTAAAAATAGTCTTATTCTCCAATTTAAAATAGTTAAGTAAAAAAAAATCAAGGCTAAGAATGAGCTTGCTAGTAAAGGGAACTGCATACTTTCAGAAGGCAGAATGCAGATTACTCAGTTTAGATGGCTACATGGGGCGGAACACAGATAAAACAACCACTAGCGTTAGGTATTCTAAAAGAAACACCATATGTGATAAAAACCAAATCATGAGGGATCCAAAAAAGACCTATACCTTTTTTCTTTTTCTTTGTTTTCTTATTACTCCGCCCTTTCTGCTGCTCTTCCATTATTCTTTCTTCTGCCATTTGAGAGCTATCAGCACGACTGAGTGTTGACATTAACCAAGCATAGAGAAACTCAGAGAGATACCTGCATTAGAAACATTACTAAATGTAAACCAACTCTTATTTTTTGAGTTAAAAGAGACCTCATTTTTGAGTAGTATGTTCTTTACCTGAACAGATGTCATCTGGAAAAACATTTACTGTCTCAGAGTAAACTGCTACTTTTCAAAGGATTTGTTTAACATAGAAACTTTTTTTTAAACACTCTAAACTACTTCAAGATGTTAGCATACAGGTCCTTTATTGCAGAATTAATCTGGGTGCTAAGCAGGGTTGTCATGAAAAAGTTCATTTCATTGAAGCAAATCATTTCAAAATAGTTTTCAAAGTATTTTTATGAAAGAGGGGAACTGATCCTATGGGTTAACTCCTAAGATGAGCGGCTGTAGAAAAGCAGCAAGTCACATCTGGCATTTAAATGGCAGATGCAATGTAAGCAAGTGTAAAATGTTGCATGCTGGGACAAAACCCCCTAAACTTTACATAGACTCATTGAATCTGAGCTGACAGTGGCTGATCAAGAAAGGATTTGGTGGGTAGTTTGATGAAAATGCCAACCACTGTGCAGCTGCTGTGGAAAAGACAAACTCTGTGTTGGGCACAATCACAAAAAGAACTGAAAATAAAACTGCCAGTATAATATCATCTTTATATAAACTTATGATGAAACCATTCTTGGAATATTGAGTACAGTTCTGGTTACCACATTTCAAAAAAGGATTAGGTCTGAAAAAGGAGCAGAAAGGGAAAACTGACATGATGAAGGGGGTACAGCAGCTTTCCTATGAGGAAAGTGTACAAAGTCTGCAACGGTTTAGATTTTAAAAAAGAAACACAAAGAAATAGGATAGATAAATACAAAACTGAGCATAAGGGGAAGAGTTCTCCCTCTCTCCTAACACTAGAATCCAGGGTCATCCAATGAAGTAGAATTAAAGTGTGGAAGTTTCAGGTCAGGAAAAACTTCATATGCTGCATAGTTAAACTGTGGAATTTGCTATCAGTAGATGTAGTAACATTCACCAATTTGGATGGCTTTACAAGTAACTGGGGCACCTTGAAGGAAGATAAGGTTGTCAGTGGCTACTTAGTCATGACAGCTGTATGGCACCAGCAGCATCAGTGGGAGTCAGTATGCCAGTTGTTTATCCTACAAGCAAGTGGTTGGTCACCATGTGAGCAGAATGCTGTGCTGGATGGGCCAGGGATGGGCAACATGTGCCCCTCCTGCTTTTGTGAAGGATGACGAGTTGCAGTCCCACCATTGGCTATACCAGCTAAACATCTAGTCTTCACATTCTCTACAACTGAGACAGCATGGCTGATCCAGCATGGTTTTTAAGGTAGGGTCACTTAAAGAACTTAAGAGTGGGACAGGTTTTCACCCCTTTCTTTTGTGCAGTCAACTTGTGACCCTTGAAAGGTATCTCTGGAAAGGTTCCTCCTGAACTAAGTGGGATGGGATGCTTTGGGAAGGAGGGGAAACTTTGCGCCCATGAATTTCCTTAAATTATCTTACTATCTACGCCCAATTTGGTGGGAGTGCCCCCTTTCCCAGCCAACTCCATTCCCAATCTTACTGGTCAAGAGGATCTCCGCTCTCCACCCCTACAACCTTCCAAAAAGCCTTTTGAGAAGGTACCTGCAATGGGGGAAGTGGGGGGGAGGGAATCTTTCCTTGAACTTCCTTAAGTTAGTTTAAGGAAGTGTGCAGTGTGCACCAGCAAATCATGGGATAATAAAAGCCTATTAATTCTTGCCATTGTTATGTGTGAACTAGGCCACAGAGTCAGAAGAAGCCCTCTCCTCTCCCCATTCCTTTTCCCTTGTAGGCCATGTCTTTTTAGACTTTAAGCCTGTGACTGTGTTGCTTAACTGATGAGATGTAAGCAGCCCTGGGAGCCTTTCTGGTTGGGGTGTGGCATGAGAAGACCTCAGATAAGTAACATGGCTTATCTGTTGCGAGGCCTTAGCGACAGGACGGCATATAAATATTCTAAATAAATAAATATTCTAAATATTCTAAATAAATAAATAAAATGTATCAGAAACATCATTATGGGTTGTTGTTTTTTTGTATTATCAGTAGTGGGCATCCTTACCACCTATGGCAACCAGTTATCAAATCTGTGCAATATACAGATCAAAGGCAGACTTTGAGCAGACCCACCAAATCAACGGGACAAGCTAATCATGACTAATGCAGATCACAAAAAATTCAATGGCTCTGCTCCAAGCACGACCGAGTCTGGATGCAAGTCTGTAATCCATTTTGTTGGAGCACAGTCCATTCCACTGGAGAATGCATTTGCTTTATTTACAAGAGGATTCTGGGAACTATGCCCCTTCCCAGTTTCCAAGCAATTGCTCTCTCTTACCAATAGATATAGTAATACTCATGCATACTGTACAGCTCCAGCTCAAATCCGCTCAGAAGATACTGGATCATGATGCGAAGGTTGTGGTAAAGGACCCAGGTGCCCAAGCATGCCAAGTGCTGCCTCTGGGGCTCTTGTTTCAGTAGCATACTATGAAGTGCTGCATCCACCTTCTCTGCCTAGCAAGGTGAAAGAGGCACAGTTCAGCTCAAGAAGCATATTTGCAACTTCAGCAATTACTCTAACAACATTCTCTATTTATACCACATCCATATTTGAGGCCCAAATCTGCAAGTGAGATGTCAAGCATGCCATATTTTCTTAAGCACCAAGATGACTGGGCATGTTTCAAAAGGGATGTTTCAATCAGAGTATTCTAATCTAACTTATCCTACAATCTCATATGATGGTATTGTCAGCCACAGGGTACCATCCTTAGAATGTAATTTCTTAAGCCTGCACGTGTCCTTGGGTTATCACTAATCAACATTTTATCACTGTGACCTACTGCAAACTTCCCATCCCTCACCCCTGCATATCCTGTTACATATTTCAAACTTTCCTTTGACTTGTGTGTTTAGACAGAATACTCTTAGACTTTGGCTGAATCAATTTGTCAATATATGCAGCATGACTAGCTACAATAAACAAAGCTGATTTCCCCAAATTTAGGGTACATTCCTCCCAGGTGGAAAATGTGGATTAAATGTAAGTGCTTTCTGAGCATAGCAGAATGAACTAAGCTTGCCGGTTGGGTCTGAGAGAGATGAGGAAGGAGTCGCAATGGGATGCCGCTTGGCTGTTAAACCCTTGGGCAAGGTTCCCAAGACATTCAGAGATGCTGGCAGTACAGCTTAAACATCTGTCTGTAACCACAGCAATTAGGAGAAGAAAAAGAATAGAAAAGACAAAGTAGTTGTCATGTCCCTGGAATTGTCTGAAGGCAGAGCGGGCAGTCGCACTGCTGAAGCTAAGCAGCTTTGGGGCTGCTTGGAAGGGAGAGCACCTGAGAACTACATGTAGCCACTTTGAGTTTTGCCACAGAGCAAAGTGGGATAGAAATGAAAAATGAAATGTCGTGTACAGGATTCTGTGTCCTTTAAGTTACCTCATCTTGCAAAGTAGCAAATTCTTCAAGAATGTGACCAAGTTTATCTCTTTGACGCGCTCTATTGTGCCCATGAATCTGAATTAAACTACAGAATGGCTGGAGGAGAAAAAGAAAAATACTGATTAGTTCAGATGTTTATTTTGTTTCCATAGTCCATGATTTAATGCAGTCGTGCACGTTGGGGCAAAAAAATCCAGCTTCAGGTGTAAGCTAATGCGATGTGAGCTAACAGTGACTGACCAAGAAGCAGATACTTGGGTTGTGATCAGTACCTCAGTGAAAATGTCAGCCCAGTTGGTGGCTGCTAAGAAAAAAACAAAATCCATGTTAGGTCTAATTAGGCAAGGAACTAAAAATAAAATCTCCAAGATCGATCGTGATCCCCTTATACAAATCGAGAGTGTGACAGCATTTTGAATATTATGTTCAACTGACAATAGTGTGTAGTCCTCCCCACACCTGAAGGAGGAGATCGTTGGGTGCTCTTAAAGGCAAAGGCAAAGGCTGAAGTCTCATTCTTGCCAGGGTACTTTTACTACTTGTATCCAGGAGCACAGCTAAGAGAGACTGGCTTGCCCTGGCCCCACAGCATAGCCCACTATTAGTATTATAGCCGAGGGGCTGGCCTTTTACATTACATTTATGAACATTTAACTAACTATGTATTTCACGTGACATGAATCCAGACTTACAACAGGCACAAACCCAGTTACAGCTACAGTCAAATCCTGGATTTCCCCATTGAGTTCTGTGGGAGCTCACATTTCTGCCCTGATAAGGAATAAAGGTCTACGCAAAAGAACCACTCAGGCTGTGTGTCATTCCCACTTTTTTCTGACTTAGTAGACGCAGCAACCTGCTGTCTTCTAGTAAGACGGAAGACATCTGTGAGGCTGCAGGAAAGTGCATGAAGTTCCTGAAGGGGAACTGGACACTGTTTTTATCACATAGACTGCTTCCTACTGGCCTGAGACGAGTTTACAACATCCAGTGGAATGATACATGGACATGCACATGGTAGGCATGTCATAAGTGGAGCCAGCTGAAGCCAGGGGTTAGACTAGATGGCCCAGGAGGACCCTTCTGACTCACTCTGTCTCTATGATACCTGATAATCTGGAAACATCAGAAGATCTATACTCCCTTTCTCTTTTACAAGGCATTATCTTAAAAACCATGCTCCTCAGCTATGGACTACCACCCCTCCAAAATAATAAAACACTTGTCAAATTCAAAACACAGGACAACCATATGAACCAGGGTTAGAGCTGGGGCTGATGGGAGTTGCGGTCCAACAGCATCTGGCTGTCCAGATGCTGTTTTTAATAATTTGGAGAAGTAAAAAATAATTTATACTAATGAGGCATTTTTAAAAAAATATTTTGCAATGCCATCAATACTTACTCGAACACAGTGTGTGACAAAAGAGTCTATGTAATCCTTAGCCTGGTGATTGTTATAAAGACAACACCTAAGAGAGAATGAACACCATTATGTAGTGGAAAATTTAGATCCAGAAAATGCTGACTTGGCTCAGGACCATGGCAATACCTTGCCTTGCCTTGCCCCAAAGGCCTGTGGCATGATTCAAAGGGCACAGACGGGGTACCTCTTCTGCAGTGAGTGTTGCATGCAGATAGTGGGGAGGCCAATCATCTGCCCTCCCTCTCCCCATTCCCCTCTTCTGCCATGCCCAGAAGGCTGCCAAAGGAAGGACACATCACCCTTGCCAGAGATGACCTGAACTCATCATTTACAGGTGGTTTCTGGAATCAGGCCAAGGGTAGCATGCAGCTACCCACCCTGACCAATGACATCTGTATTCTACAACGATGAAATCATCTTAAGAGATGCTGTTATTACTCGGTTCCTTTCTTACAAAGTGGCTGACAACATACACAACTGGTTAGTTTGGAATATGGAAATAGGCACCGCACTCATTTTGCAATATAACTGCTATGATCGTATATCCCTTTTATGGCATCAACTGTAGCCATGCCTAGCTGCCCAGACGAGGAAGATATAGATCATTTTCCTCCTCGTAACATAAGAATATGCAAGGACAGAGAGGAACAAGCAATTAACAGATAGTCACAAACAGCATCTGCAGAGACACAGGAAGCTCACTATGTCCCAGCCAAGTCCCTTAGCTAGCCAAGGATATTCCTTTACGGTTGGAAAATCATTAACAATATTTATTTGTTTGATTCCTGTGAGGTACTGTGTGATTTATAATCAAAAGGGAGTTTTCAGTAGCATTTTTGTTTTGTTAAACACTGTGGCACACAATAAACATGCAAATTAAAATGAAAACTAGAATTTGTTACTCACTTAGGTGAAAGAACTGGAGGACTGACAAAAGATCTCAGGGCATCTTTTACCATATCTTGCATAAGGTGAGTGCCAAATACTTTTTTGTTATCCACAAGAAAGGTAGTCTACATCAAAAAGTAATCTTGTTACTATGTCCAGTTATGAACACACACTTAAAACGTTTTACTGTATGTGACATTTCCTACTTGCCTGTAAGAGTGATCTTGAAAGAACGCAAGGTGACTGTTCACTGAATTCACAGAAAAAGTCCTGATTTATAAATGGAACAAGGAAAACACAAGGTTAACACAAGGGATACAATTAGATATAAAGGAAGGGAAGGGAAAGGTAATTTTTGAGAAATCTACAATCATTCACCTCCCCTTGGAACGGCATAAAATGTTCCAGCTTCCCCCACATTAAGGCAGCAATCAATGTCTGGGGGACACAGGGAGTCATTTCACCATCAAGTGGTGAGTTGAACTATTAGTGATATCTTGCTAATGTTAACAGAGAAAAGGTGGTCAACTACAGCTGACTAAGAGGCTCCAAAAGGTGAGTGGAGTGCTGAGTCACAAATGCTGAGGCAGGAACATAGCGAAGGAAGAACGAAGGCTAATGGAATGAAGGGAAGAAAGGAAGAGAAGAGAAGAGAAGAGAAGAGAAGAGAAGAGAAGAGAAGAGAAGGCAAAGCCAGCTGAAATTGGCATTCAACCACAGTCCATCTTATGACTGCATTTCTACCACTGGTGGACATTTTGCTCATAACATTCTAATCCCTACACAATTCCACTAATTCAATTTAAGCCCAAGGATAACCGTTGCAAAAAGGATTATTTAGCAAAGACTGAGGGGGGTTTTCCCCTCATGCTACTTGAGAAAGTATGCGCAGAGAGAAATGAAAACTATTCCATTATAGTCTTTTAAATTAAAAACTAATTACAGAATTCAAGGAGGTTTGTTTCAGCAAAAGAGAGTGCTTTGCTTCAGCATGAACAACTGAAGCTATTGTATGTCTGATAGCTCATTTCTCTTGAGTTAGGACACAGCTTCCCTAGGACACTGAACTCCAATTTGTGTATGACTAATGTGCTGTAGGAGCAAATGGACACCATGCGGTTATTTGTATAGTATGTTACCACCAACACCCCCAGCCAAGCATCACTGTCAAAGAAACTGCCCATGTTATCTTGCTTTCTCAGATGCATGTCCAGATGTTCATGTGGAACCAGATGTCGAAATTTAAAAAACTGGAACTGAGATGCACTTAAAACTATTTGCTGAGTGTTACTGCACTTGTTGCCCCCCCCCCCACCCAAAAAAAAAAGAATACCTGGCATCTCGGCAAAGAAATGCAATGGCACAGCTATGGTTTTCACCCATAAAAATGTTTTCCTATTTGTGTATAAAACAACATGCAGTGGGATATTTAGAAAAGCTGTGACCATCTGTGTACAAGTCCTGGGGTTATTCAGGAAATATGCCTTTATATCCCTATGAATAAAGCAAGATAACAGTCTTGATACTTACCAATATACAGTGCAAATTAGTTAAATTGACAACTTCACACACTGTTTTTATTCTGTCTATAAGTTTTGAAAAATAGTTGACCATTTCTTCCCTTTTAATTATTTTTGCATATCGAGGAAAAGTTGGAGGAAGCAATCTCTGATTAACAAGAGGTTCAAACCCCATCATAATAGGATGATCTAAAAAACAGTTGAATAATTCTTAGCACTCACTTCTACTGTATCATACACTAGTTATCTCATCAAGACAAAAAGGATTACAATTCATTAGGTTAAAAATAAAGCCTTTCAAAGTAAAGACATTTACTGTCAATTAAGCAATTTAAAATTATTTTTAGAAAAAGAATTTGATTTTAAAGTTGTCACAGTCTAGATTTCCAGGTTTTCCTTTCAGCAGAAGGCTAATGGTTATGATACCAACTGTAGAAGCAGCCTTTCTTATGAGCTTACTTTTTAAACCCTTATGGGGACAAACATAACTTTAAAACTGCCTCTGAGTAACATCTGGCTCTAATTAATTTCACAATGTGAAGGTAATGAAATCAGCAACGGTGCCCTATTTATTTTGGTACAGATCTGGAAGGTATTACCAGAAGCCATTTGGTGTAGGATACAACTACAGAATCTCTAAGCTGTCATCCAGCTACACCTTAAATACTTCCCAAGGCAGACTATTCCACTGTCAAATGGCAGGTTGGAAATTTCTTCAATCTACTGGTTCAAAACTCTCAAACAACCCCTCTGCTGAAGAGAGAGAAATAGATCCTTCTCTATAGTCTTTCAAAAGAATGTTTAGATCCATTTCTTTCAGGTGGTCACTGAAGGTCCTGACTGCAAAACTGTATCACCTGTGATATCTGGTGGGGCAAAAATGACCTGTTTTTGAAGACTGCCTTAACTGAACTGCTATATATGAATACAGAAACTACAACAAAAAATCCATGCCTAGACTAACTCATGAGGCTAAAAGAACAGACCAAAAACACAAGAAACAAAACAAAACCCCAAATCAAAAGAGATCCACACTAATGACTGCCCATGTAGTATTTTCAGTGGTAACACAGCACAAAAAGAGAATGCATTTCTGAAATTACTTACCGCCTTTTGTTGTGTCATTCTGAGCCTGAATGCCACGATGCAAAGAGTTGTGGATAGCACAAAGCAAATCAGCTGCCTGAGTCATCAGTTTCTGAGCTTCTGCAACTGCACTGGTCTGTTAAGAAGGGATAGGAAAAGCTGTACGTCACCACACAATTAAAATACTACCTGTTTTTAAGAACAAAGTGATTACATCTGTTCAGTTTTAAAATGTATACCTGTGACTGTAATGTACTGTGCATGCAGAATATGCTATGCAGAAACCACTAAGTAATCATATGGGATTCATTCATGTGGCATAAAATAATACTCCTACAAATATACCTGCCCACGTTTCCTCCCATATAAGTCATTTTGCTTTCTGTAACCAACAACGAAGGTGAGAATATAAAAAAGCCATGCTGGAGCAAACCCAAGAGCCCATCCAGTCCATCATCCTGTTTCTAAAGTGTAGTCAGAAGATTTATTTATTATTACAGTTCTTTCCCAACATTTTCCTCTGCAAGGTACCTAAGGAAGCCTCTATAGTTCTCCTCTCAACAACCTTGTAAAGTAGATTGGACTGAGTGTCAGTGACTAGCCCAGAGTCACCCAGAGAGCCTCATGGCCCTGTGGGGACTAGAAACATGATCTCCTGAGTTTCAGTTCACTACTCTAACCACCATACAATACTGTTGCCACAGATGCCTCTGCTTCCCTTTTTTTGTAGCTTGTCCCAGTATCTGACAGAGGTGTAGAGACTCTGAATGTGGAGGATCCACACACAGAAAGAAGGAAGGTTGGAAAATATTAAGGAAATTACTCTGGATACATACCTCTTTTTTGGTAAAGGCTATTAATACAGTCAGTAACAGCCGGGTAAACTTCACTCTGCTGAATACTGCAAAGCACTGTTGATGCTACAGAAAAATTAATCCCAAAATTAGTATTTTTCAGACTTTCAAAACATGATCTAGAAAAAATACCAGAAGAATGTTTGCAATGTCTTAAAAGTTGCTTTGTAATTCTGAGCACTGAAATATTTTAAAATAAATCCTCTTTCTGAGCAACTCAATGCAATTAAAAGGCTAATATCAATAACCTTAGCTGTTCCAAGATTTTACAAATGATAAATTAAATGACTGCATCTTCCATGTGATCAATGAGTGCTATTACTACTTAATCTGGTGCATAATCCAAGTTCAGCCTACATCAAGAACACTTTCCTGCCAACACACCTTGTGATGTTAAATATAGATTGATCTTATGCTTATTTAATGTCAATTTTTCAATAAATAGATAATTTTATTATAGGACACAGGCAAAGAAGACTCTCAAGGAACACTTTTTATATGATCTTGCACAGAATACAAAGATTGCTACCTCAAGTTCCACTTCTGGATCTCTCTCTTCTCCTTGTCGGCTTCGAGTGCTCTAAAATGAAAGACATTATACAGTGTCACATAACTTGCACTGCTTATCTATTATAATAATATGATTACATGAGAGCATGGCATAATTATAAATATAACCATGGAGAGAATCTGAGAAGTGGGGCTTCTCAGAATATATGAAAAGGAAAGCCAGTTGACAGAGTGTAGATGTGAACAACATGGATTTAAATTCCCCCTAAAGAAACCCTAGATCAATCTAGATGAGGTGGCCACATCTTTCTCAGGTATATGTAAGATGTTGCGGATGGAGTGTTTCCATCGATTGATGTGCAGATGATGAGAGCCTGACATAGATACCTGTGCTGGCTAATTTCCCTAATTATCATCCCAGCCACTCACCTTCACCAGATTTGGAAGTCATGGCAATGGATGTCTGGAAGAAGTAGTTAGGGAAATGTGCCAGCATGTGTGGGGATGATTAATAAGCCACCATGGTTTATTAACCAACTTGTGTCATGCAAGCCAGCCCACTATCTCAGCCTAATGAACCTCTCACTCTGAGGATCAAAAAGAGGGTAGGATGAAGGCTGGGATTTTAGAAAGCAATAGAATGGAAAGAATTAAAGGGACTTAGTTATGTTTCGTAATCTGAAAATTTATCATTTTGTTAGACTTTTTCTCCACATGCCTGACTGATAAGACTATTCTAAGAGTCATTTAAAACTGGTTTGTCTCAGATTTTGGGACATGAGTATCATAGGTATTAATACTAGATTAAATCTAACATTGTACTATTGGAAGCCTGCTAACACAACTGAACTTTCGGTTCTGCCACTTCTGTCACTCAATATGCAGCCTGAAATCTGCTCTGAAACATTCCTTAGCCCTCCAAAGTTGATTCTGAGATGCATAAGAAAAAGAAGGAATCACCTCCCTCTCAGATCCACTAATACAACTATTTCCATCAGCAGAAGACCACCTCTAGATAAAAGCCACTATGACCCAAACAGCATAGAATCAAGACTCCAAACTTATAGTCAGTTCTGGATAGTTTTCCAAAGCACTTACAGTCAATGTTGGATAAAGACTTTAAGTTTACATGTTGTAACAGGAGCAATAAGTGTAATAATTACAACCCACAGACTTATCTAGGTCCGCCTGGCGCTGTCGTTATTTGTTTTTCGGCGCCAGGTGAAGACCTTTTTATTAAAACGTCATTTTAATTGCTAACAATATTTGCTTATTTATCTGGCCAGGGCAACTTCTTTTACATTGTTATTTATTTTATATTGTTAATTTTATATTGTTATTTTTGTATTTTATTGTATTTTATTGTGTTGTAAGCTGCCCCGAGGCTTCGGCAAGGGGCGGCATAGATACGTTTTAATAATAAATAAATAAATAAATAAATAAATAATCTATGGAGGTTTCATTTTGGAAGCTTTTGAACCATTTGTTAATGAACAAGGTCACTAACCAGTGAAAGTTTTTGAGGTCATAAAAGGCCTGAAACATTTAATGCAATATAGGGTATGAATAATCTCAGACGCAGGCCAGACTAGATAGCTTTAAGATAGCTTTGCTGACTCACTAAGAGAAAACAATTACACTTTGAAAGATTTCTGATTCCACACTCCTGTGCATACTAATTAAATTGGTTGTGTTCTCTCTTAAAATAAATGTCATTATTCTCAAGATCTCTGTAAAAGCAAAGTTATAGTTTAGTGTGCCAAAGAAATATACCTTAACTCGTCGTTGCATGTCATCTTCAACATCCTTCAGCATACCTGAAAAAATGTTATAAAGTCAGATGCATGAGCAGCACTTGGAAGAGTCTTTTGTATTTTCTGGATGGACAATTCCTTCCTATATGCAATAGCCATTTTAACTAAAGCAAATATAAGAGCTTCTGACTTCATCATATGCCGAGAGGCATCTTTTCAGCACCCTTCCCCTTCCTGAAAGTCACAAACTCTGTGGGCCATTAGCCAGTCCTAGCTTCTGCACTCGGGAACAAAAGTGACTATCTGTAGCCCATGCATTGCTATACGTTCTTCACTTAGGGCCTGAGTGACCACTTGATGCTGTTGCACTATCCTCTTTTCTGTAAACTCTTCAGATCCTATATGGATTTCATGCATTGCTCCACAGCCACCTGATATGTCTGCTACTCCAATAACAGCAGCTTAGGGAAACTTGTCATTCAGGACCTGCCTCACCCTATCTGTCCATGATGTATTGACTTGCACTGTATCACACAGGGCATCCGCAGAGCAGCCTCAAGCAATATATTAAAAACTTCACATTCTTAGATCCATTGCTTATATTTATTACTGCTAATTTTATGACAGAATTCCTATTTGAAGGCATTTTAAAAAGAATAGCAGCATTCAAATCATCCTCCCAGCCACAGTGTATAGTACCTTTCCCAAACTTCCAGAACTCTCCAGATGTTCTGGACCAGAAAACCCATCCTCCATGGACATTACTCATGCCGGCTAATGCTCATGGGAGCCATAGCCCAAACTGTGGTGACAGGGAGGTGGGGGGGACCTAGGATTAGGAAGGTTATTCTAAACCACGGTTTAGGGGAGGGTGGTTTGGAAGAAGGCAGTGGCTCATAGGCTGAAGCGCTCATTCCTTCCCTTGGTCATCTGATTTACTAGAATACTTCTACTACTACAATAACTAGAACTATTAGTTCTACTACTCCTACTACTTTTTGAATGCTTTTAGCAGAATGCTGCTCTAATCAAACCAAAGTTTGCTTTTATAGCTGAATCTATAAACTATGGTTTGGGTGAGCCCCCAGAACCAGTCTCAACAATGCTTTGAAATCCTGGTTTAGACAGCCCACTCAATGCATGAATTGCCAATCAGGATGAACAGCAAACTGTGCTCTGATAAAACCAGGAAATGAGGATCATCTGCTTCACTTGAATACAGACTATTGGAAATCCTCTCAATACAACCAATGTCTTTCAAGGCACTCCTATGCATTTATATTTACTCTTAAGTCCCAACAAAGAAGAAAGATTATGAGTTGTTTTGAGTTGTACCTGTAACTCGAAGATCTGTCACACTGTTTGCCATTTTAAATCCGTATGTCATAGACTGAAAATCTTCCTAAACATTAGAAGGAAAAAGTAACTGCTACAACCAAGACTTTTTCGTCAAAACCAGCAACTGGGCTCAACATTTCTGCACAACATACAAAATACCAGTCCTCCACTTTAGTTTGGAACTATGCCTCTAAATTGGCCTTTCCTAAGCTAATGACCTCCAGATGTTTCAGATTAGCATTTCTGATCATTGGCCATGCTGGTTGAGGCTGTGAACAGTGGAAGTCCAAAACATCTTGAAGGAACCAGCTCAAGGAAGCTGATCAAGGTGTTTTTTAATTATCATGAAGACATTTGCAAAATGTGTAATACAGGGGAAGATGTTAAAATCATCATTCCATCAAAGTTTCCATCTTGAGAAAATCAAGCTGACTATTCTAACTTTTATGTTATTTTATGGAGTAATAGATCAGTGCTAGTCAGCACTAATAAGACTGAAAACTATACTGATGGTCACTTATTCTCAAGTCTCAGTTTAAATGTACTTCAGTTTCCCTGAATCTAGATGTCACAGAGCACTTTGGTTATCAACAAGTAAAAATAATTTCATAATGAAATCAACATATTTAAAAACAAAACCACAGAAAGGAAAAGTATAAGAAAAGCAGCTAAAAACTAGATGACAAGTCAAAAGCCACCAACTGACTAAACTGTACAATGCAAATTATATTTCTTAATAAAGGAATCACGGCACATAACCTTAAGCTTCAAGAACCTTACCTCTTCAAACACTGCAGCTTTGTTTACTTTTTCTCTGGCAATATCACAAATTTTTAGGATCCCCAGAGCAAATGCCTTCATGGCAGGATCATCTATAAAGTCTGGATTATGAATGTAAAGGCAAGTGAATACAGTCTGAGCCAAAGAATGACCTTCCAACCATGTTATCTGAAGAGAGAAGATTACAATACGAGATGATTGCAGCTCAGTTTTGTGACTGGACTTGTACTGTGCAAAACAGGAATTGTAAATTTATTTTCATTCAATACCATTACGGTAAACAGGTGGAAAATGTTTAGTCACAATATGGCTAACTTTTTCAACAGGCTACATGACAAAAATGTATGCTCTGATCTCTAGCATGGATATTTTTTTACAACCATTCTACTTCAATGAGCACATGCTAGGAAATACCATCATTGTTAAACCACTGTTATGAATTATTATTATTATTATTGTTCATGTTGGTTAAATTTTGTTGGTTGTGTAAATGTCCTATTGACATTGAAGTTAGTTATCAATATTATGTAATATTTTATATGGTTTTTGTGTGCATTGTTCCAAGAGCCCTTTTGATAACAAATGGTAAATAAATAAATAAATAATACAAAGCAAGAATCAGGCCGTAATATTGGATTCTGCACACATGCATGGACCACAGCCCAAAAACACTGCTTAGCCCAGTGAAGGCACCACATTATTCATATTTATAGTTTTATTTCAACCCGGGAAACAAAACAATGGTTGAAATTCCATGTCACACTAGTGGAAGTGCTAGCAAGCTGGGATGTTCTTCTCTCCACTCCCTTTCATCAGTCCGTGACACCCAAAAATCTCTTCTGGACAGTCTCCCAGCCATCTGGGAAAGATTTTGTGGGTGTGTGGGGGACTGTAGATGGAGAGGATGAGTTCCCCTCAGTACCGCTGGTGGGAACTCAGTTTGCTAAGGAAATACCACAATTATATCCAAACCATAATATCTTAGTTCAACCTGGAGGTGGGGGTGGGGTCAGGGAAAGGAAAGGAATTTTATATTGTGCAAAACCTGAATTCCATTTTCCCAAAGTTTGATTACCCAAACAGAATAGTGGTGATACGGTGATTATCAGAAAAACCTACTGCAATGTTAAATTGGGTCTTTTAAAAAAAATGCAAAGATCATGTCATTTTTTTTAATGGCACCACCCCAATATATATGTTTATGCTTTAGCCTCAGGAATCCCTAAAAAGTTAGAATTGATTAGTTATTCTAACTAACAGGGCCCATGATTTTTATGAATCCAATTACCATCTCTGAAATGTGGAAAACTGTTATTTCAACTAATTCAACACTGAAAACAGACAATCCTTACCAAGCAGCAAAAACAAGTGTCCATTATTCCTATTAGCTCCGGCAAGGACAAATCTTTAATTTTAATAGTACCATCCTTTAAAAGAATAAGAGAACATGCATGAGTTCCATCAGCAGCAAATGAAATATCATCAACTTCTAGAGATCACCTGTTTGGGCATGGTGGGGGTAAGAGTGACATGCCTACCTGGAAGGGAGATTCTAGCACTATACCACCTTCTGTTCAGCTTGTAGTGCTGTAGACAGCAGAAGAACCTGTGTGCCACCCTATGGACCTGTCAGTAAGGGACTGCTCATCCTTCTTTAACACCCAAACTCCCTTAGTGTTTTCCTTATGCACTGGGAGAAAAGCCATCTTCAGCTCCTGCCATTCTTTAGAATGAGATCTAAATTCATTTCCTTAAATCAGGGGTTCAAAATCTCAGGCCTGAGGGCAAAATCAAGTCATCCTATGGTCCCAAATGGATCCTCTGGGGTTCCTCTTGGGACATGACCCTCCACTTCTTCCGCCACCACCAATATTATGTGGTGGCTTCCCAGATTTTGTGAACTTTCTCCCCATTCTAAGAAGTTGAAATGTCTCTTCTAAGTCTTAGTTACTAGAAAGAGGAGCTTTATGTAAAATATGCTGGCACTTGGCATATTTTGGCCTAGCCTCCATTGCTGTCGGCCCACCAACCACTGGAGCTAGAACTTCTCCAAAATGGAATTTGGCCCTGGGCTGAAGAAGGTTCCACACTTTTCACACTCATGCTCCTCTGCATTCATTTCACAATGACATTTATTTTCATAAAGCACTGAGCAGTTGACCAAAATGAAAAATACACTAACCTTGATAGCTTGTTCAAAGTTAAGAACTTTTCGGTTAACTTGGTTTCCAATCATACCAGCATCCATCTTGGGGTCCATCATTTCAATTGCAGACATAGCTTCAAAGAGACCAAAGCTATGGAGAGCAAGATGCCATGAGAAAACCATGATAAACTGGCACTATTGAATTATATATATGTGCGTGTGTGCGAGAACATTTCAAAACATGTTAAAAGCTCAACTAGCAAAGAGAATTAAAGATTTTTCATAATTAATTGTCTTATCAACTCTGAAAATCATGCAAAAACAGATGCAGCACTCATCTAAATTGTCATACTTTTTAAATAGAAAGAATGGATGCATTTTGATATTATACGGTAAAACTAATCACAGAAGCGAAATACCTGTTAAATGAATAACTATGAAAACAATAAGATCATTCTTTACTATGGAAATGCCTTAGCAATACAGTTCTATACCCCTTTCTAGTTCTATATCCCTAGAAATGTAATTAGGACTGTGGTTTAAACAACTGTTGAAGAAATGAGGGCTAACCCAATCTAGCAAGACATTTTCTGCATCACAATTTTAATAAAACGATATATGAAATGATGAGGGAATGAGAAGCAGGAACAAAGGATGCTCAGCAGTCATTCAGAGGAGCTCCTGCAAGCACCAGCTGGGTGCACTGCATTTAGCCTTCCAAACGGGAGAGGTTAGTTACCCCTAAGTAAAGGGAATCTCTTTATCTCTGGTCTGTGTTTGGAGATAACAAGGAAATTCCTCTGACTCACTGCTCAAGTCAGCAGGTTAAGCCTTAGGAGGGGCCTGCAGGCCAGCCGTTTCCCACCCCCTGCTAAATCATGGCGTAGCACTAGGTGCACATGCAAAATGGTTTCCAAGGGTGATCCACACCTCCTCCCAAGCAACTAGTAGGAGTAATAAATCAGAATAGAATTTCACTAGCATATTCTCACTCTGTTCAAATCAGGAAATGTGGCTCAAATAAATGTTAACCCATCGCTATATGGTATGTTAAGCCTGTAAGACAAAGACTATATTTTAAACCACAGTCCCTGAGATCCCCAGGATGTGGGAAATGAAGAGTATCCAAACTGTTCAAGATTTCCCAGTTTGGAGCAGGAGCTGGGGAAGGCTACCAGAGCTAATGCTAGTGTCATTCCTTTGGAGAAGACAGTAAATTTAAGGCACAGATGTCAGAGTTCACATGGGATTATTGTCTACCAATGGAATATACATCTTAGGTATGTATAGCATGCATCCAAGACAGATCAAAATTATTCTGCAAGGTATCTTCACAGTAAGCAATACTGAGGAATCAGTCAATAAAACAGAGTAAAATGTAATTGTATTAAGAACAGATAGCATGGTCGAAACCACACATAAACATAGCTCTGTTAGCATACAGAAATGTACCTCTCTAAAGAGTTTACGTATTACTGATAGATTCTGGAATACACAAGCAAGCACATGTGGATGTTGACTGATAATGCTGCATGTTATGTTTGTTGCTATTGTTGTTATGTGCTATCAAGTCTGTTGAGGCGATGTAATCTCTTCCTAGTTAATTCCACATATCAACTTCAGACACATTCCCTGCAGTTCTTTTACCTTATTGACATTGGGTTGGATTCAGATTTTGTCTCACCTAGAGCAGGCCTGTTGAGGTTAATGGGACTTAATATAGTTATGACCAGATCTGGATCCAATCCACTAAAGCTCTCTGTAGTTCAACATCCTATCTATAACCTGTTTTTTCCATTTGTAGCACAGGAAGCTGGAAGTCCATCAGAAAACAAAGCCACAAACACTAGCAGGATGTGCCAATGTTGCTTCAGTAAGGGTTTATGAAGGAAACCCATTTTATTTCAATTGAGTTGACTAAGCAATAAGGACAAGCTGGCTGCTGACTAATCCACTGAATTTCATTACAAAGCTAATTAAATGGGCAAATGATAACACTGAAATAAGAATGCAGAGGCTTCTGCTGTATTTATGTGAAGACAGCATCGTAAGATTATCCTAAGTATACTTATGTGGAAGTATAATCTACTCAAATGAACTGGACTTATTTCCAATTAAGCATGTCCATCAATGAAACCTAAGAATCTGCTTTGTCTATTAACTGTTTCCCCCAGTCCCTAACAGATTTTACTTCTTAACAAGTTATTATAAATATGGCTAGAGTACTGCCTTACTACATGATTCTAAACACTTGTATAGAATTAAGTTCCTCTGAACTCAACAGTGGTTATTCCTAGTAAATACACATAATGCTGCTTCTTCAGCTTGTGTGCAACAGAGTTTTCAAGTCATTAGCTTACATTCTTATCAATATTATTTAGCATTCTTCAAATGGCTAAAGGAGATGTAAGGCCAAGATGACTGTAACTGTACCTAACACACTTGGAACCAAGCAATAATCACTGAAATCAATAAAGGTTGCTTCTAAGCATTTGTTTCAGATTAAGATGCAAGAAACACATTATAAAAGCTTGTATCCTTATGGTACACTCACAGTTTGTCATGAAGTAACTCTCCCAACTTCAGCTCTTGAAGGAAATTAAAAATGAAGAGCACATTAGAAAGGTGTTCAGACACTTTAGATATTGAATAAGCCCTTTACAGAATCAAAGATACAGACAAAAGATGTCTTTAACAACATTTTCTTTAAGTAAAACATATCTTTAGCTTAAATCCACTTTTCTGCTAGCTAAGGAGTTTAAGTGAACAGAAGAGCAGTTCAATTTTATACTAATTCAGGACAATATGGGAATCTATTATAATCACCCTACTTGTAAACCCTTAAAAGCAGTTTCAGTAAACAGCCATCACATCATACAATCTCATTCCTGCCAAACAATGAGCTGGATCTAACATACACCTTCCAAAGACAGAAGGGCTCCATCCATCCTGGGGAAGCTTATGATTCAGTAAAACTTTTCTTCTGGCTGAATGGAGATAAGATGAGGATTGTTGATTCTACCCAATATGTCTCCTGAAAACCTGCTCTGGAGGGTTAGGGGACCCTTCAAAACATTGAGGGAGGTGGAGCTGGGGGTACAGGGTGGGGGAAGTGGTAAAAATTATTTTCCCCTTCTCTTCTCTCAGAAGAAGCATTCTCAATGGAACTCTCAGGGATGCTTCTGCTGTATGCAGCTCCATATATTTCAATGGCCAACAAACAAGTGCTAAATAAAAAGGGTTACCAGGAAAAAAGAAATCAAACAATATTAAATGTAAGGCATAAATGTCATTAAACTTAAGCTTGAAATGTCAAACTTAAGTTTAATCATTTTGAAGGTGTGAACATTAACAGCAATTAACAAGTATCCTAAAGTGTCTGTTTCTAACTATTATAATCCCAAAAAATAAACAGCAATTGGAAAACATATCATTAATATCTAGGGTTTCAATCAGTCAGGAGAGCCAAAGGTGAACAGGGGTGATGGCCACAGAGCCCTTCTCAGAAAAAGAGGGAGGAAAGCACTTATACATGCCTACAAGGTGAGAGTAACTAGGGGGAACAAAAGGGAAGGACACCTAATCTTCTGCAGAGAAGGCTGCTGACCGCTAGAAAAAAATGCTAGTCTGGCTGATTTTTTTTTTTTTTTGATCTCTGGCTAGTTGCCAGATAAGGAAGAGCAAGGCCAGCTCCCTACCCCATGGTTTTTCTTTAAAAAAATTGAGCACTGGTGCACTGCTTAGCATACATAATACTCAAGCTGAGGCCCAAACCCTGGTGTCATCATGCATGCTTATAACTGGTGCTACACACAGCCTCCCTCACACCTCAGGAAGTGGCAAAGGGGAGCTGGCAATGAGCGAGACAGTTGGCATGGAGCCTGGATGGTGACAATTGTGGCACAGGAAACCAACAGGCAGTTTTCAGCCTAGACTCAGTTGTGTCCATAATTCTCTTCCACATTTCTACATTGAAAGGTGGGGCAGCAGCAACAGCTGTGAGCTCGGTTTTGCTAATTCCTGAGCTTCAGCAGTCAACTCTCATCTCCTTTTAGATTCCCAGCAAAGTGAGAAAAGTGAATGGGAAGAAGGGCTGCTGGAGACTGAGGACTAGAACCTGAAAAAAAGTTTGAGCATAGCTTCAGTTGGGCCCAAACTCTCTTTCAAGTTTCCATCTGGTTTGACTTACCAAGTGGGCAGACTGCACTGCAAAGAAGCACTGGGGAGCGTCACTTCCCCATTAGCCATTCCCAGGCAAACTAGCCCTTACCAGTTTCCAACTCAACGGCAGACGTTTCCCCAGACCCATTATGCAGCAACACAGTCCCCCATGTGCAGTGATCCTGTTGGCTTGGCCCTTCTGGGTCAGCTGCTGTTGCAAAGATAGACAGTCTTTGCATGGTGGCTCAACAAAGTTGCCACAGTGGCAGCCTTGTCTTGCTCGTCACAACAGATTAATGGAGCAAGTGTGATAGAGAGAAGAAGAGAAGGCCTGCAATTCTGAGTATATCTGCAGCCCTATTCAAGTGAGAGCCAGTGTGGTGTAGTGGTTAAGAGCATGGGGCTGGGACTCAGAGGATCTGGGTTCTAGTCCCTGCTTAGCCATGGAGCCAAGTGGGTGACTTTGGGCCAGTCACAGACTCTCGGCCCAACCTACCTCACAGGGTTGTTGTTGTGGGGATAAGATGGAGGAGGAGAGATGATGTAAGCTACCTTGAGTCCTTTGTAGGAAAAAGGCAGGATATAAATCACAATATAAAATAAATATAAATAAATAAGTGTTCTGAACAGGACCAAGGCATGAGGAGGAGGAGAAGCACTCCAGCCCTGCCCCATCCTCACAAAGGCCACCCCAACTCAGTGTCCTGACTCACAGGGAGAGCCTCCACAGACACAGAACGCTCTCTTTAGACCATGGGTCCCCAAACTATGGCCCATGGGCCAGATTTGGCCTGCCATGCCCATTTATCCAGGCCGCCTCAGAGGTTTTGGACTCACTCGGAGAAAACGATCTCTGTGCGAGTGTGCAGGGAAGACGGGCGCGATAATGGTCGTGCTCGGGGTGGGGGGGATGGACATGATCGCACCCGCCTTCCGTGCATGAGCACGATCACATCCGTCTCCCGCCGCCCCCAGCACGATTGCAGACATTGTGGCTATGTCCCTTGAATATGGACATGCTCTTCCCCACCTCCTCTTGGGCTTCTGCTGCAGCTCGAGCGAGGGGAGCAAACATTTTAAAATTATTTTTAAATTTTTATTTTAATTAATTTAATTGATTTTAATTTTAATTTGATTTTAATTTTAATTAATTTTTAATGTGCAGTGTGCATAGGAATCCATTCATATTTTTTTCAAACTATAGTCCAGCCCCCCAACAGTCTGAGGGGCAGTGAACTGGCCCCCCGTTTAAAAAGTTTGAGGACCCCTGCTTTAGACAGTCCCCAACTATGAGCAGAGGATGACAGTAATCCAAGAGGGAGGGGACAGGGCTGGAACCCTTTCTCTCCTCATACCTTTGCTCTCTTTAGCTCCAGAATGCCTGAAAAAGGCTCATGTGTAGGAAAATCAGTGTGGTGCATAACATGGAAAACTCCCATGGGCAAAAGAATGTGTCTTCCTCAACTCACCCTCCATGTAGAAAGCGTGAAAAAATGATGATGAATGGAATGGGACAAGCACATTCCCTTTCCTCATGTGTTTCATCCACAAATGTAGCTTCCATGTAGCCTGAAGTGCCTGATCCTGCCTAATCTTGGAAGCTAAGCAGTGTCAGGCCTGGGCAGAAGTGGGATGGGTGACTTGAGTGTATGATTCTACGATTATTGCTGTCAACTGCCTAGAGAGCTTTGGCTATAGGCAGTATAAAAATGTAATAATAATAATAATTAGGAACAAATGAACAGGGCTACTGAGTCTTCTTCTGGTACCACTCCGTGCTTATTCTTTATACTCAAATTACCTGTCACAAGCTCTCCACTTGACTTTCTTACCATGCATGGAGAGTACAAGATTTCTAAGAAGTTACAACAGGCATACAATTTAGAACAGAGAACTCTGTCAACGGACTCCACCCACAGAGTGGTCAGAAACTGTTAGGCCCTGTTCCAGTAACCTTTGGCCACAGATAAGGGACCATTGCTCAGAGGTAAAGCAAGTACTTCGTGTGATAAGATCTCAGGTTTGATCGCCAGCATTTCCAGCTTGGGCTGGGAGATCTCCTGCCTGGAGCCCTGGACAGCCACTACCAGTCAGTGTGGGCAATGCTGGGCTAATGGGCCTACAGTCTCATTCAGTTGAAGACATTTTCCTATAGCCCTGTCTTCCTTTCCAGAAAAGTCTATTGGTTTCATGACCACTAGCATTACAATAAGCTTCCTGCTGCTGCTAAACCACAACTTATCTTTTTTGACTGACTCCTGTCATTCCAGCCATTTTCCATCCACCAACCAGACACAGCACAATTTACCTCTACAACAATCTTCAAAGTCATGGGTAATATCTATCCAGCTTGTATTACTCTTTTCCATCTTCTCAGGTATATTGAGCTCCCATCCTGAATCATCATCTTCTACAGAAGCCTTCATAACCATATTCCTACTGCTGTCATAAAACATTAAACAATAAAAAACATTCAAATGTGATGCATCAGAAATTGCGAACAGGGGTTGACGGGAGACATGGTTGCATTTGACATGTGCCCCTCCCCGCACGCCCAATTGTGCTGATCTTCCCTCCTCCCGATTTTTAAAACAGTCCAGACTGAAAGACTCCCGTCCTGATATCGAGCTGATGTGAAGCCCGGAGGAGCTGCCGGGCGGCTAAGGGCAAGCGTCTTCGCATCTACTACGGACCACTAGCAAGCCAAGTCAGATGGGGAGCGGGATCCTACTCAGCCCCTGGGCAGAGCTGGGACGGTGCCCCAGCTGCAGCCACCCGCCAGTGTAACCATTCTGTTCGAGGGATTGCTCCGGGCCTCCCACCTGCTGCCGCCGCCGCCGCCTCCGGTGGCGGAACGCGGCTTCCTCGCCCCGTGAGTGCTCCTTCTCTGCCCGGCAGGGCGGAGGCGGAGCGCCCGAACGGCCCCTGCGCTCACCCCGAGCCCGCAGCCTCCGCCTCACGCGGTCGACCAGAGCAATTCCGCTCCCCTTCCACCCGCAGGCACAGGACGCAGGGCGAGCGCGGACGCCTCGGCGGCTGCGCGTGCGCGGGAGCCCCTTGCCGACGAACCGACTCCGGATGCAGCGGCGTGTGGAACACCGGACTTCCTTTTTCTCATAGAGATAAGAAATAAAAAATAGACCGTCGTTCTTCACTCTGTAGGCTGCAAGCCGGATTTCCCGCGGTTTGTTTGGTGGGGCTTTGGGTTGTTCTTGTTGTCTCGGCTACCTGTTCTTAGATCGCCAGCAATGATAGTTGCACACAGGAGGGAAGAGGGAATTTTCTGGCGGTGATTGTTGTGTCCTATCTTCATTACCCCGCTGCAACAGCAAAACTGAATCCAGGAGGAAAGACAGATATTCTTTAAAAAGTCAGGCCGTGTTTCTTAGTTTGTGTGTGTGTGGATGTTGACTTTAAAACATTGCCCTGCAATTTTTGGTTTCACTATGTTAAATGCGTGTAAAAAGAATTGCTTCTGACAGCCGTCCCCAACTCATTACCCTGCAGATGTGCTTGGACTACAACTACCACAGTCCTCTTGCTGAGGATTGTGGGAGTTTTAGTCCGAACACATCTGACGGCAATAAGTTTGAGAAAAGCTGACTTACGGCAATGCTATAATGAAGTCCCGCATACTTATTCCCTTATTGTACGTTTCAGATTGGAAGAAGAGGGTATGTGGTTTACTGCAACTTTATAAAGTAGTTTTGAATGATTCCCACTTCGGGATGGGTGGGAACAAGAACTGCAGCTGTCAATCCTCCAGTGTAGTCCGATGTTGTTAAGCCTGAATTGTTGAGGAAGACTAGTGCTGAAAGAGAACGGCTTATGAAGACTCTGTAATGTCCATAGTGTACGTGTGCGTACATGCATTAAGGAGTGGTTTATTATAACCATACAGCATGCCGCATTATTATTTTTCCCAGTTTCAAGGTAGGGAAATGAAATTGAGGAAGAGCCATGTACAGCAACAGTGTGAGGTAATCCATTGTTTTCTTCATATTGCCAGAGGGATGAAAATGAGAGAAATTAGTTTGTGGTACAAACATCATGATGCTGATACTTCCCTTCTATACATATGTTCAAATTGCAACTCTGTTGGTTCTGAGACTGTCTCAGGACAGCTGTTCTTTCTTAAATCTCTTGCTACATTTCAAAAGTTTTTTTTTTTTATCACTGGTGTTTCTGGATTATTTATCTAGTAGTTTTCTATTCAACTTCTTGGCTACACCAAGCCTCAAGATAGCATACAAGATAAATAAAAATATGTGCAAGGAACTGTGAATTTAAAAGCAGAGTAACACTAAAAAAATAGCAAGGAGTAAAGTTAAAACAATCCAAAGGTCTGGCAAATGTATTGACCATTAATCTGCAGGGATAGGCCTCTTATAACTTTCACTCATAGCTATGTTACCTAGGGCTGATGGAAGTCATAGTCATACTTCTGAAGAGCTATCTCCAGATGGTGGAGTTGCCCATCTAAGGAACCAGTTGAGTTTTTTCAGGAAGGATATTCTGCAGTCTTGGTGCCAGTAGTGAAATGCTTGATAGCATTTTATTGAAGAAAATGTTTCCATTAATCCAAGAAAAAAATCCTCACTGATTTGCCAAGAACTAGATAGTGACTGGTTAACATAAAAAAAAGGTTGTTGTTGTTGTTAGTTGCAAAGTCATGTCGGGCCCATTGCGACCCCATGGACAACATTCCTCTAGGCCTTCCTGTCCTCCACCATCCCCCGGAGTCCACTTAAGTTCACACCAACTACTTCCTGCCACCTCATTCTCTGCCTTCCCCTTCTTTTGCCATCTATTGTTCCCAGCATTAGACTCTTCTCCAGGGAGTCCTTCCTTCTCATTAGGTGGCCAAAATATTTGAGTTTCATCTTCAGTATCTGGCCTTCTAAAGAGCAGTCAGGGTTGATCTCCTCTAGGACTGACCGGTTTGATTGCCTTGCCGTCCAAGGGACTCGCAGGAGTCTCCTCCAGCACCACAATTCAAAGGCCTCAATCCTTTGGTGCTCAGCCTTCCTTATGGTCCAACTTTCACAGCCATACATTGCAACTGAGAAAACCATAGCCTTGACTATACGCACTTTTGTTGGCAGGGTGCTGTCTCTGCTTTTTAGTATGCTGTCTATATTTGCCATAGCTTTTTTCCCCAGGAGCAAGCGTCTTTTAATTTCATGGCTGCAGTCCCTATCTGCGGTAATCTTGGAGCCCAGGAAAATAAAATCTGTTCCAGGTCCCAGTATGACATTGGGAAGGAGTGATCTTCAGACATTCAAGTTAGTCTTGTGACTGGGTGGGATGGCAAATGGAATGAAGTATCCTGGGAACAGGCATAGCTGTGTGACTTGGATGGTGAACAACAGCACTTCATGCTACAATTGTTAGGAATTTCTTTGCTGGATTTCTCCTCTAAAAATGGGCCAGTTGCAGTTTCTTACAAAATTTAAAAGCATAAAAACCATCACCAATAATTGAAACACATTTGTGACAAGGTAAAAGTGGCAAGAAAGACCAAAACCACATTTAGAATACTCAATGAAACTGAAAGCTAAACATTTATTCTCAAGCACAAGTGCACACTTGTTTTATACTTTGGAAGCATGTGTCTCTATGTTCCAAGATCCAATCTGGGGGTGCTGATGGGAACAGTTAATAGAATCTGAAGTGCAGACTCAAAGCTGTAGTGGTGTAGTCTTCTGGAACAGAGGTGAACAGAAAGTCAATCTCCAGATGTTTTGAACTTCAGCCCTCTGTCTTCTTGACCACTAGCCATGCTGGCAGGGGCTTCTGCTAGATGAAGTCCTAAATGGCTGGAGAGTTACCTTATGCTCACCCCTGTTTTGGGCTTCACCTCTGAACCCCAGAAAAGAACTGCAGCCTGAGATCCTGGAGACTGGGTGATTGAGATAGTGGACAGTTTCTTTTGAAGATGATATGATAGACTCCCTCCCTTCTTTTTGTTGCTTTACCAAAGAATGGAAAAGGTTTGAGAATGGCTATTATCTGAACTGACATAACCCTCATATTGAAGAGGATGAGGGGAAGAGTGTGGTCAAGTGGTGAATGTGCCACAAATAACCTGCATAATGGTCAAGACCCTGTCACTAATACTAGCTGCATTTTTTGTAAGTATACTATAATTCTGTTATTTTTCTTTCACGTTGCAGAAACTTTTGCTGTACTGGTATTAATTCTTCAGTGATCTATAAACAGACTAATTATGCAGTCCCTTCAGGGTGCAATTTCCAAGAACTCTTAAAATAAAAAGATGGTTTTGAGCCATAGAAATTCAGACACTCAATTTTTCAGAGTTCAGTTTCCAAGTATGTTGGCAAATTCCACTTAAAATATGTAAACTAATTGGTGAAATTTACAGTGTGATCTGATGCATGCTTACTTAAACATGCCAATGTTTTGATGAGGCTTACTTCCTAGTAAGTTTGTATAGGATTTTAGCCCAAGCCTCTTATATCCTGAAACATATTAGCTTGTTTAAACATTCAAACTATAAGCAATACAAGTTAATTGCAACAGGAAATATTATCCTCAGTAAAAAGAAAAAAGTTTCTAACCACTGAACATTAATAATAATGCAATTAATGTAAAACTGTAGGGGAAAATGAAGATAGACAATATATTCTGTTCCTTAGTAAATGAGAAAAGTATAAAGGATCCAAGAAAAATGTACTATCGTGGGAAAGATGATAACCTGCTACAGGCTATTATTAGTATGTTCCTTTTATTCCCAAAGGCTGGACTATTTATGTGTCTTTAAAGTTTGCCAAGAAGTATGCAGAAACAAAGTAAAATTTAGAGTTGCTTAGACTTCTCTTTAGTAATTCTTTCAAAATTTCAGAAACATGTATGCTCTCTTCCTATTATAGAAGCATTCAAATACGGCTTACAAATACAACAGAAAACAGTATAAAATATTCTAACAAAAATATCTATTTAACCAAATTATACACAAAATGAAAGATGAAAATAACAGCAATTAAAAGCAGTGCCACTGAATAACAGAAGTTTGCACATAAACAGACTTAAGACTGACTCCTAAAAAGTAGTAATAAAGGTGTTATGATTGTGGCTGCAGAACAAAGTTCCTTAATTGCAGCCAAGTTCAGACAGGGCATGCAAGGTGAAGTGACCTGCTTCAGGCCACACTGATGGGTAGGAGATTGGCAGCAACTGGTGTCTGAATATTGCAGCTTAACTTTTTAAGTGTTCAGCTAAGCAGGATGGGTGCTTTTTATTCATTATCCTTGGTATCTTAAAGCACTGGCTTGGAAATCGGAAGAATTGTAGAACTTTTTTTGTTTAAACATGACTGTCTGCTTGTACCCTTAGCTGCTTTTGATACAACCGGTTTTTTTCTGGACCAACTGTGTAGGTATGGGGGCACAAAGCACGGTGCTCCTACCTACACTAAGGTCCAAAAGATAACACTCATTGTTTGGTGGGACGGCAAGGTTTCTGTTCAATTCCCTAGCACTGGCATTATGGATCCGCTAGGGTTCATCTCATTGCCCCATGCTTTTTAACAGTTATATGAAGCTTCTGGGAAAAGTTATTGGAGGGGTTGGAGTGAGGTTTCCATACTATGCTGGTGACATTCAGCTCTATTTCTTCTTGGCATAAGAGTCAGCTGAGGCTGTAAAGAAGCTGAATCAGTGCCTGGATGCAGTAACAGGCTGAATGAGGGCCAATAAGCTGAAACTTAATCCTGACAGAATGGAGGTACAGTGTGTAGATGGCTTTTGGGTCTGGGAAATTGATATTTGGCCTGTTATGGATAGGGCTGCATTCCCCCTGAAAAGCAATTATGACGTTTGTGATTACTCTTAGAAACCACTTTTCACTACAGGCCCAGGTGATTCACATGGACTGATTCACCATCTGCAGCCATTACTACATGGGGGGAGCCACACTCTGGCTACCAGTCAGACTGCTGCAATATGTAATATATGGGGCTGCCCTTGAAGATAACTCAGGGATTCATTTAGCACAGCATATGGCAGCCAGTCTT